GTCCGTCCTCCCTGGACTAACCTATCCCCTCCCTAACTCCCCATCTACACTCACATTTACTGGCTCCATCCCTGCCTCTTTGACCTGTCTGTCTCCTCTCTACCTATCTTCTCCTTTATCCATCTTCTATCGGCCTCCCCCTCTCTCCCTATTTATTTCAGAACCCCCTTCCCCTCCCACATTTTTGAAGAAGGGTCTAGGCCCGAAACGTCAGCCTTCCTGCTCCTCTGATGCTGCTTGGCCTGCTGTGTTCATCCAGCTCTACACCTTGTTATCTCTTCTAACCCTCTGGATGTTGAGTTGACACAGAGTGAGTTATTTAATCTAAGGAAGGGTTGTTTATTTCCGATTTTATTGTCTGCAATTTCTGAACCAATTGGCACTTTACTTAAAGAAATGTATCAATTAAAATGGTGACATCTGATTTAAAACTTCAAACAATATTTCCCAGAATTGCTTTGAGGGAAATGCAGAGTCATTATTGTCAATAATAACACAGTGTGGAGCTGGAGGAGCACAGCGGGCCAGGCAGCATCAGAGGAGCAGGAAAGTTCAACGTATCATTCTCTGCCACTTCCGCCACCTGCAATCCGACCCCACAACCAAAGATATATTTCCCTCCCCATCCCTATCTGCCTTCCGCAAGGACTGTTATCTCTGCGACTCCTTCATCCACTCCACACTCCCCACTCGCCCCACCACCCCCAGCACCTTTTCCTGCAACTGCAGGAAGTGCTACACCTGCCCCTATACCTCCCCTGTCACCTCCATTCAAGGCACCAAACAACCCTTTCACATCAGACACAGATTCACCTGCACATCCGTCAATGTGGTCTATTACATCCGCTGCTCCTGATGTGGACTCTTCTACATCGGTGAGACCAAGTGGAGGCTCGGAGAACACTTTGTAGAGCACCTGTGCTCTATTCGTGACAAACGACAGCACCTTCCAGTCGCGAACCATTTCAACTCCACATCCTACTCCAAGGGTGACATGTCCATCCTGGGCCTCCTCCACTGTCACAATGATGCCACCCGGAAACTGGAGGAACAGTACCTAATATTCCACCTTGGGAGCCTACAACCCAATGGTCTCAATGTGGACTTTGCCAGTTTCAAAATCTCCCCACCCCCAGCCTCATCCCTCTTTCTATTTATTTCGGAGCTCCCTTCCCCCTCCCCCATTTCTGAAGAAGGGTCCCGACCCGAAATGTTGACTTTCCTGCTCCTCTTTTTTTTTCTTTATTCATTCACATGATGAGGCAGCATTTATTGCCCAGAGAGCAGTTAAGAGACTGTGGGTTCTGGAGTCACATGTAGGCCAGACCAAGTAAGGATGGCAGTTTCCTTCCCTAAAGGGCGAGTGAACTTAGATGGGTTTTTCCAACAATCAACAGTGGATTCGTGGTGATCATTAGATTCTTAATTCCAGATATTGATTGAATTCAAATTCCACCATCTGCCGTGGCAGGATTCGAACCAGGGTCCCCAGAATGTTATCTGGGTCTCTGGATTAACAGTCCAGCGATAATACCACTAGGCCATTGCCTCCCCATCCTCTGATGCTGCCTGGCCTGCCGTCCTCCTCCAGCTCCACACTGTGTTATCTCTGACTCCAGCATTGGCAGTTCCTGGTATCTCTTATTATCAATGATGCTGTGTCATAGAGCTGAAGAAGTTCCTAGATCGTATTTGATTATCACATTTCCACAGAAATGTCCACTGCTAAGCAAATTGATACCAGTCTGGGTTCCTGTTTCTGTACACAAGGCCATTAGGTATAGGAACAGAATTAGTCCATTTCTGCCTTCTCCCTGTAACCTTTGATCACTTTCCTATTCAAGAACCTACCACTGACTTAAAAACACTCAATGACTTGGCCTCCGCAGCCTTCTGTGGCACAGTTCCACAGTCACCACTCTCTGGCTGAAGAAATTCCTCCTCATCTCAACTCTAAAACGTCATCCTTTTGCTCCGAGGCTGTGCCCTTTGGTCCTAGTCTCTCCTACTGTTGTAAATATTGTCTCCACGTCCACTCTATCCAGGTCTATCAGTATTCTGTCAGTTTCAGTGAGATCCTCCCTCATCCTTCCAAATTCAGAAGTATTAGTTGTTGGAATGTGATTGTGTGTATGTTGATTGAGAATAGGTTTCTACATAATGTGCTGTGACTCAATGTTGGCACTGCCTCCTCTGGGCCTGTGTAGGTTCTTTTAATACCTCTGAATCTGAAGACTGGGGGCTTATGCCTCACTCCAGAGGCTTGGAGCACAAGCTCGAGGCTGGTGATCCCGCTGGAGTTCTGAGGGACCACTGCACTGCCAGAGGCACTATCTTTCACATTGGACATGAAGTCAAGATTCCTTGAGCTAATTAAGCATCAGCTGCCAATTTCAGAATCACATCGAACAGCAAATGTTTCATTTCGATTTTGCAGGTGCAGACTGGTTGGGTAGGGCCTATATTTCACTTGTTGTCATCAACAGAATGAACATCCTGTTTGATTCAGTCAAATACTTGATGACATATTCTGCACTGACACTGAAATTCGTACATAAAATTGTTCAGTTGTCTGCCTGGTGGAATGTCCTGAGAATGTTATCAACTATTGTAAGATAGTGAGTTGCACTTGGAACATGGCTTATTTACTCTCACGAGAAGCAACAACATTCATGCTCAGGGACTCATTTCCTGCAAACAAAGGAATATGTTCAATAACAAACACAGACAGTGCTGAAGAAACTCAGTAGATTTGGCAGCATTCTGTGAAGTGATAAAGAGTTTATGCTTCAAATCCGATCTGACTCTTCTTCAGAAGTAATGAGCTTGATGTCTCAGGCTGAGTGGGCAAAGTGCAGAAAGGCAAGGCAGGGATGCTATGAGTATATGGGTAGGCTCAGAATGAATCTTCGAGTAACATCAAAAACAAGTAAAACTGTGAGAGAGAAAGAGGCAAGGCAATTTCAATAGGCACTGCATTCTTCATAAAGTCTTATCTTTACTTTTAGCTGCCCAGATCCAGGTGTCTGGTAATCAAAATTTGCCAGAAGACTTGGTAAAAATCGAGATCTGGCATAACACCATGGAGATAAACTGGAGAAGGGTCATGGGAGCAAAGAACTCTGGTAAATGTTTAGTTTATTTTGTATCCAGATTTGTATTTCTGAACTCCCTGTGTTTAGAATTGCTTCTCTTCGCTTCCTTCTTTCCCTCCTCTCTCTCTCTCTCTCTTTCTCTCTGCTTCCATTAACCTCATTCATTCCTCCCTTTCTGTGCTGGCATTCTTGGGATGAAGGGGCTTGTCTTATGAAAGAAACATGAGGAGATAGTTTTATACTCATTGGAGTCCAGAAGAATGAGCAGTGATCTTTCTGAAATATATAGGATTCTGAGGGGCTTGACTGGACAGATGCTGAGAGGATGCTTACCCTTGTGGGGGAATCTAGAATTAAAGGTAACATCACCATAGTCCTACCAAACCACAGGGCCAGTCTCTCATTAGAGAGAGGTGACTGGTGGTGTTTTAATCAATATAGTGTGGAGCAGGAGGAGCACAGCAGGTCAGGCAGCATCAGAAGAGCAGAAAAGTCAACGTTTCAGGTCAGGACCCTTCATCAGGACTGGGGATGGGGAAAATAGCTTTGAAATAAATAGTGGAAGAAGGGGTGGGGCTGGGAGAAGGTAGGTGGGATGGTGATAGGTGGATGCAGGTAGGGAGTGGTGGGGATTGGTCATTGGGATAGGAGGGGAAGGTAGGTGGAAAAGAAGTGGACAGATTGTGTCAGGTCAAGGAGGCGGGGATGAGAGGGATGGTTGGATGTGGGATGAGGCCGGGCGTGGGGAGATTTTGAAATTGGTGAATTTTTTGTTGAGGCTTAAGGCTCCTGAGGCAGAATATGAGGTATTGTTCCTCCAGTTTGCCCATGGCATCATTGTGACACTAGAGGAGGCCCAGGATGGACATGTCACCAAGGGAGTGGGAGGGGAAGTTAAAATGTTTGGCAATCAGTAGATGTTGTTGATTATAGCATACAGAGCACAGACACTCCGCGAATCGGTCACCGACTCTGCGCTTGATCTCACCAATGTAGAGCAGACCACATCAGGAGCAACGGATACAGTAGACCACGTTGGAGGATGTACAGGTGTCGGATTTAGAAAGTTTGTCTGGGGCCTTTGATGGAGGTTAGAGGGGAGGTGTAGGGGCAGATGTAGCACTTCCTGCGGTTGCAGGGAAAGATGCCTGGTGTTGTGGGGTTGGTGGAGAGTGTGGACCGGATGAAGGAGTCGTGGAGTGAGCAGTCCCTATAAGAGACAGATAGGGGTTGGGACGGAAAGATCTCTTTGGTGGTGGGGTTGGATTGCAGGTGATAGAAGTGGCGGAGGATGATGCACTGGATGCAGAGGCTGGTGGGGTGGTATGTGAATTGCTATCTCCTGGTAGTGTTTTAAATTGAGAGTCACCACACCTCAGGCAAGGGGAGAGGTTGAGAAGGAAACACCTTCATGAGAACCTCAGCTGGTAAAGGAATTGAACCCATGCTGTTGGCATTACTCTGCATCCAACCACCTGAGAGATGCAATGGCCTATTGTTCTTATTGTTGGGCTGTTAGTGCAGAGACACAGGTAATGTTCTGAGGACCTGGGTTCAGATCCCAACATGACAGATGGTGGAATTTCCCTCCCATAAAAATCTGGAATTATGAGTCTGATAATGACCATGAATCCATTGTTGATTGTTGGGAAAAACCCATCTGCTTCATTAATGTCATTTAGGAAAGGAAACTGCCATCCTGGTCTGGTCTACATGTGACTCCAGACCCACAGAAATGTGTAGTTGACTCTTAACTGCCCTCTGGGCAATTAGGGATGGGCAACAAATGTGGACCTGGACAGTGATGCCATCATCCCATTGAATATAAGTGTGAGGTCATCCATTTTGGTAGGAATAACAGCAAAATGGACTATGTTTTAAATGGTAAAAAATTGCAGCACGCTGCTGTGCAGAGGGACTTGGGTGGCCTTGTGCATGAATCGCTAAAAGTAGGATTGCAGGTGCAGCAGGTGATTAAAAAAGCAAATGGAATTTTGTCTGTCATTGCTAGAGGGACGGAGGTTAAAAACAGGGAGGCTATGCTGCAGCTGTATAGGGTCCTGGTGAGGCCACACCTGGAGTACTGTGTGCAGTTTTGGTCTCCTTACTTGAGAAGAGATATACTAACACTGGAGGGGGTGCAGAGGAGATTCACTCGGTTGATTCCAGAGTTGAGAGGGTTGGATTATGAGGAGAGACTGAGTAGACTGGGATTATACTCATTGGAATTCAGAAGAATGAGGGGAGATCTTATAGAAACGTATAAGATTATGAAGGGAATAGATAAGGTGGAGACAGGGAGGTTGTTTCTGCTAGCAGGTGAAACGAGGACTGGAGGGCATCGCCTCAAAATAAAGGGAAGCAGATGTAGGACTGAGGTCAGGAGGAACTTCTTCACCCAAAGGGTTGTGAATCTGTGGAATTCCCTGTCCAGTGAAGCGGTTGAAGCAACCACGCTGAATGTTTTTAAGGCAAGGCTAGATAAATTTTTGAACAGTAAAGGAATTAAGGGTTATGGTGAGTGGGCAGGTAAGTGGAGCTGAGTCTCAAAAAGATCAGCCACGATCTTATTAAATGGCGGGGCAGGCTCAAGGGGCCAGATGGCCTACTCCTGCTCCTAGTTCTTATGTTCTTATGAATGCATAAAAAAAGAGCCAACTAACCCTGTTAATCTGTAACTAGGGGCCACAGGTCTCCCATTGCAAGGGGAGATGAGGAGGAGTGTCTTCTCTCAGAGGCTTATTAGTTTTTAGATTTCCCTGCCCCAATGTGGAGTGGAGATTGGGTCATCAAATTTATTTAAGGACAGAGTTTTGATTGTTAGGAGTCATCGTTGGTGGGGGCTGGAGGGAACATGCAGGAAAATGGAGTTAAGGTCACAATCAGGTCAGTTGTGATTCTATCGAATGGGGGAAATTGCTCAATGGGCTGAATGGTATATCCCTGCTCCTAATTGTGTATCTTGCATCGAAATTGTTTCTAGGCCTTGGAAAACAGGTAGAGTGGGAATTCTTCAGTGAAGGCCAATCAGAGCGAATACTGTGGCACTGTGGGTAGTCCAGCTGCTTGGGGGCTGAGGTGGGGAGAGGACTAAAGAAGTATGAAAGGGCAATAATGGTCAGGGATTTGTTAGTGAGGGAGCACACAGGTGCTTTGTGCATGTAGACATGACTCCAGCATGGCATATTGCCTCCTGAGTGCCTGAGTCAAGGATGTCATGGAATGGCATGCGAATACCGAAGGGAGGAGATCAGCCAGAGGTCATGGTCCACATTGGGACCAATGGCAGATGAAGAGAAAAAAAGGAGTCCTGAAAATAGACTTCAGGGGATTAGGTAAGAAACTGAATAGCAGGACTTAAAGGTAGTGATCTCTAAGTTCTTCCCAATGCCACACAGCTAGCCAGCTAGTATAAAAATCAAAGGATCAAGCAGATGAATGCATGGCTGGAGAGATGGTACCGGGAGGGGGCTTTAGATTCCTAAGGCATGGAGCCTGTTTTTGGGAGGGGTCTGCTGATGCTTTTGGGCGTGAATTTTAATTAGATTGGAAAGGGGATGGGATCCTGACAAATAGTTCAGAGGTAAGAGAAGTGGGGACAAATGAAAGTTTAAAACACTGGTGAGTAAGTCCGGAAGGCAGAGGAAACAGGCTACTTAGGAAAGGATAGATAGGAAAGAATTGAATTGAGCAAGGCTAAGTGGAATATATTTTGATGCAAGGAGACTGAGGAATAAGACCGACACGATGAGGACATAGATAGGCAGGTGGGAGTTTGACATCATGCTATAGCTTTACTGAAAGATGCACAGAATTGGCAGCTCAGTGTTTCTGGTTATAGGGTATTTAGACGAGAGAGAAGGGTAGAAGAGGGGTGTTGTTCTAATATTTATGAAGGAATCAATTATATCAGTGAGGAGGGATTATATCTTGGAAGGATCATCAAATAAGGCCTTTGGATAGAAGTAAAAAGCACAAAAAATGTAAAGCACTGTTGGGTGTGTATTAAAGGCCCCTACACAGTCAGTGAGAAATAGACGATTAAATATGTATCGTTTGACTGTTACTGTTGTATCTCCAGAAGTGGAGCATCATCAGTCTGTGCCTCCCTCTGTGTGGAAGTTCTGCAATGTTCGGAGAGCGAGGTCCTATCGTAAAAGCAGTTCCCAACTGGGGAGACACCAGTTTCACTCACTGTGAATGAGCTCTGTCTCTGAGTAATTTAATCTATATATTTGTGGCAAATGAGGAGTGCAGAAAACTAGAAGTCGCTTCAAACACCTAAGTTGTGTTTGTAATATTCTATGACTTGTCAGTAAATAGTAAGTTCATCACAGCAGTGAAATTTTATCTTCTTAGTTTGTGAATACCACACCAATTGATATTTTGTAAATAAAGATTATCTGCTCATTATCTCATTGCTCTTTGTTAAATGTTCCGCACATATTGGCAAAGATATTTAATTGGCTGTAGAGTGTTTTCGGAAATCCTGAGATCAAGAAAGGTGCTATATAAATAGAAGTCCATAAATATGCTTGTGAGCTCTTGTGATAACAAATCAGTACTGGTACAAACTTTCCCACCTCTTCTCATGCAGTACAAACTGCTGTTTTCTCTTAGATTTAGTATTCTTGCAATTCTGTCCTGATGAGTACAAGGTGGAAAGTTTTGAACATTTCTCCTTTTTTAGCCATATTCAGCTCCTGTGCTGCTAAGCGACTCATTTTCTTTTACCATGTTTAAAAATTGCTTTTCTATTATTATGGTCATTGGCCAACGCCATTTATTTTGGCTAGTGCTCTTTATTAATATTTGGAACCACTCCACAATGCATCATTGGAATAGATACAATGAGCTGTATAATAGATTTATACCTAACTCAACCACTGTTACCAAATTATTTCAGATGACGACACTGATCAAAGTCCAAATCACTTTGCTCCATCAGACTTTGCTGCAGTCTGCTTCTTTGTATTCAGCGACATGGAATCCATTTTGAACAACGAGATCCGTAAAGATGGGGTCAAGCAATTGGAGACAACTGAAGGAATAGGCTGGTTTAACTCCAAAGTGGTAACAGCCAGAATCAGTAACAAAGCAGCCAGTCGTGAACTGACAGAAATGGTCAATTTTACACTGAAACTCAACCAGGTTTGTAAGGGAGACTGAGGCTTTTCATGCAAAGGGAACTGTGGTGGTCCAAGATGAAGGATTGGACAGTATAGAGAGTTGTTTTACTCTGTATCCAACCGCCATGCTGCCCTGAACGTGTTTGATGGGTCAGTGTAGAGGGAGGTTTACTCTTTCTAACCCCGTGCTATCCCTCTCCTGGGCGTGTTTGATGGGGAAAATGTAAAGGAAGCCTTATAGGATCATAGAGTCATACAGCACAGAAACAGACCCTTCAGTCCAAATTGCCCCTCATGTCTTTTATAAATCTTTCTCCTCTCACCTTAAAAAATATGCCCCCTAGTCTTGAAATCCCCCACCCAGGGAAAAGACACCCACTATTCAACTTATCTCTACCCACATTATTTCATAAACCTCTGTAAGTTACTCTGCATCTAACCCCATGCTGTCCCTGTCTTGGGAGTGTTTGTTGGGGCAGTGTAGTGAGAGCTTCACTTCCAGTTTAAAAACATAGAGGGAACTTTACTGTGCAGCTAACCCTGTGCTGTTCCTGCTCTGGGAGAGTTTGATGGGGACAGTATAGAGAAAGCTTTACTCTGTATCTAACCCTATTCTATATCTGTCCTCAGCATGTTTGATGGGGACAGTGTAGAGGGAGATTTTGCTAATGTTGCTTCCATAAGGTATGAAATATCTTTTTGCCTCGTAAGTTGCTATTGTGAAGAGGTTACTATGTACTCATTTGCTGATTGTTTTCTGTACTGGCACTGTTGACAGAGGTGTGAATATTTATGTCTGTGGTAGGCGTAGGCTGTTTAACAAGGTTTGTTCCTTCATGCAGGATACCAAAGATCACGAGAAGGCCAAATGCGTTTACTGGAAGATAACAGACGGGGCAAGTTTCTGGTCCCTTGAGGGCTGCTTCCTGATTAGTTCCAATGAAAGCTACGTAATGTGCCAATGTAACCATCTGACGAGCTTTGCTATTTTAATGTCTCCGATTGAGATTGAGGTAAAACATCATTCAAACTCCGGTCAAAGTGGGAAGTAAACATAGAGACAGAGGAAACAGAAAAGTGTAACAGTCAGAAACCAGCGATTGAGAGAATCAAACAGTCAGGAATCAGACACACAAGAATGAGATTAAATGAAGCTGGACAGTCAGAATAACACCCAAGGGTGACAGACAGCAGAAAATTGACTCCATTAATGACTACGAGTGATCTAGAGAGTGAACCGACAGACACCCGAAACACCACACAGTGAGCCAGACTGTGATTTCAGAGAGTGACCCAGACTAACACCCCAGAGTGACCCAGACTAACACCCCAGAGTGACCCAGACTTTGACCCCAGTATGACCCCAAAGAGGGGTCAGACCATGGCATCCTGGAGTGACTCCAGAGACTAACAGTGTAGTGATCTGCAGACTCCAGAAAGTCACACCACAAGTGACCAGAGATTGACACAGAAAATTACTCCAGTGAGTGAATGTGTTGAAGACCCAGGAGCTACCTCAGGGAGTGACCCCAGGTAATGATCCCATGGAGTGGCTCCAGACATTGACCTGAGAAAATGAACCATCAGCAGGAAGCAAAACAATGAAGCCAGTCAGAATGCAGCGAGAAGCAGACAGGAAGCAGAAGATGGAGGGCTGTGAGAATATTGTCCCAGAATTAACATTGTGTTACTGATACCAAGTATTAACCTGTCAGTGATCACAGTGCAGCCTCTCTGACACTTTCAAGAAACATTCACTGCTACACCTGGGTCTGGGATCTCTGCTGCAGAATCTCAACAAGATATAATTGTACACCATGTGACATCAAGTGAAACCAGAGTTTCAATTCAGTAAAGTAGTGTGACATTCTCAGGGACAGAATAGATGGAAGTACACAGAACATCAGCATTGCCAACTGCATGCAGATAGATGGGTTGTTCCATGGAACTGGGCTGAATTGTGTTTCCTCTTTCTGAAATGAATAAAGGGGGAAGTGAAAGCTTTAAAATTATCATGGGGATAGAATCATAGAGTCAGACAGCACAGAAACAGACCCTTCGATCCAACTTGTCCATACAACCCTTTAGGCTTTCCAAACCAAGCTGTGTTTTGTCCATTATCTCTCTAAACCTTTCCTTTTCCTGCATCTATCTTTAAAATGTTGTAACTGTTCCTGCATCTGCCACTTCCCCTGGCAGTTCATTCCATGTATGAACCACTCTCAATGTGAAAAAGTTGCCTGAGCACATAAATCAGACCTGACACTCTAATCTCATTCCTGAGGTAGTGTGACACTGTCTGGAGTGCCATCGTTCAGTTGTGAAATTAAACCAAGGACCTATCTGCTCTGTTCAGAGGATGGTAAAGATCACTTGGTGTTATTTTTAAGGAAAATCATGGAGTTGTCTCAACATCAATATTTATCCCAGAAGCAACATCCCTGATCATTACTCGAATCAATGTTCACTAAAAGATGAACAAAGTATGAAACAGGTAATGGTAGCGTGGTAGTGGCCCTCCCCCTGAGCTACGAGACCTGGGTTTAAGTCTCACCGACTCCAGAGATGTGTAATAACACCTCTGAACAGTTTGATTAAAATGCTGTGGATGCTGAATATCTGAAATAAAAACAGAAAGTGCTAGAGAAACTCAGCAGGTCTGGAGAGAGAGAGAAACAGAGTTAATGTTTTGAGTCCAGTACGACTCTTTTTTTCAGAATAGGCTATCACTGTTTCACCTGAGTGAAATTTGCCAAAGGACCATGGATTCATTTGAAAGAGATGACTGGCAGTGTGTTTAATCTGGAGATGACAATGCCCAAGGCGAGGAGTGAGCTTAAGCAGGCAGGATCTTTATGGTGGTCTCAGCTGTTCTGGCAATTGAACCTGTGCATCCCTCGCCAGCAATCCTTGTCTCATGAATGAATAAAGTTTCTCGCATTTGGGGAAGGGTCCATTTGACTGGAAGATACTGAATGTAACTCAAGTAAAAGCAAAACACTGCGAATGATGGAAGCCAGAAACAAACACAAAATCTGGAGAAAGTCTGCAGGTCTGACAGCACCTATGGAGAGAGAAACAGTTAAAGTTTTGAATTTTGTATGACTTCTCTGTCAAACGGTGAATATGATACCTTTATTCAAAACAGGAGGGAGACAGAAAGCAGGAAACTAAAAGCTAGTTACTTTAACATCCATGAGAGGGAAGATATTAGAAGCTATTATAAAAGATTCTAGAGCAGAACTCAGAAAAATTCAAGTAATCAGGCATTTGTGAAATGGAAATTGTGCCTAAACAATTTATTGGAATTCTTTGAAGGAGTAACACATGTTGTGGGTAAAGTGTCAGATGTGTTGTACCTAGATTTCCAGAAGGCATTTGATAAAGTGTAATTTCAAAGATTATTGTGGCAAATGAAGTTTCATGATGGAGGGGTTAATATATTGGCATGGATAGAAGACTGACTGGCTAACAGGAGTTAACGTAAAATGGGTTAGCAAGATACCGTGTGTGGTGTACCACAGGGATCAGTGCTGGCACCTCAATTTTTAATAATTTGTGTTGATGACTTGCATGAAAAGATTGAAGATGTGGGGTAGCTAAATTTGCTAATGTCACAAAAATAATAGAAATGTAAGTTGCATCGAGGACATATAGGAGCTATGAACACATGTAGATAGATTAAATGAATGCATGATGATCTTGCAAATGGAGTATTATGTGGGAAAATGTAAAATTGTCTATTCTGTCAGGAAGAATTATAAAGAAGCATATTATTGAAAAGGTGAGAGGTTTTGTCGCTCTGAGATGTAAAGGGACTTGTGCATCTGCAGCACATGAATCACAAAAGACTATAGTTTTAGTTAGCATTTGGGAAAACTAATAGAATGTTATCATTTATTGTGAGGGGACTTGAATATAGAGGTATGGAAGTTATGTTTCAGTTATACAATGCACCAATGAGACAATGTCTGGAGTATTGTGCGCAGTATTGGTCTCCTTATTTAAGAAAGGAAGTAACTGTGTATGAATCAGTTCAGAGGAGGTTTACTAGGTGGAAAGTCACTGGACTCAAAATGTTGATTTTGTTTTTCAGTCCACAGATGCTGTCAGACCTGTTGAGTTTTTCCAGCATTTCTGTGTTTGTTTGCTTCAGGACTCCAGCATCCGCAATTCTTTGTTTTATTTCACCTGACTAACAGCTGGAATAGATGGGTTGTCTCAGGAGGAAACATTGGAAGGTTGAGGCTTGTATCTGCTGGAATTTAGAGAAGTAAGAGGTGTCTCAGAGTCATAGTTCATCGAAACAGACCCTTCGGTCCAACTAGTCCATGCTGAACACAATCCCAAAATAAACTAGTCCCACCTGCCTGCTCCTGGCCCATTTCCCTCCAAACCTTTCCTATTCATGTACTTATCCAAATGTCTTTGAAACGTTGTAATTGCGCCCACATCCACCACTTCCTCAGGAAGTTCATTCCACACACAAATCACCCTCTGTGTAAAAAATTTGCCTCTCATGTCTTTTTTAAATCTCTCTCCTCTCACCTGAAAAATGTACCCCCAAGTCTTGAAATCTCCTATCCTAGGGAAAAGACAACTACCATTAATTCTAACTATACCTGTCATTAGTTTATAATCTTCTGTCAGGTCGCCTCTTAACCTCCTTGGCTCCAGCAAAAAAAGTCCCAGCCTATCCAGCCTTTCTTTATAACTTATATACCCAGCAACATCCTGGGAAATTCTTTCTGAACCCTCTCCAGCTTAATAAGATCCTTCCAAGACTGGGTGACCGGAACTGGATGCGGTACTCCAAAAGAGGCCTCACCAATATCCTATACAAACACAACATGACTTCCAAACTCATATATTCAAGGCACTGAGAAATGAACGCAAGCGTGCCAAATGCCTTTCTAACCACCCTGTCTGTATGTGATGCAAACTTCAAAGACTTATGCACCTGCCCCCTTAGGTCCTTCTGTTCTACAACACTACCCAATGCCCTACCATGAATTTTATAAGCCTTACCCTTGTTTGTTGTACCAAAATGCAATACCTTGCATTTATCCAGCTCCCTGAAAGCTGCCACCCAGGTGGATAGAGTTGTTAAGAAGGCGTATGGTGTGTTAGCTTTCATTAATAGAGGGATTGAGTTCAAGAGCCGTGAAGTTATGCTCCAGCTGTACACAAGCCTGGTTCGGCCACATCTGGAATATTGTGTCCAGTTCTGGTTGCCTCATTACAGAAAAGATGTGGAAGCATTGGAAAAGGTGCAGAGGAGATTTACCAGGATGTTGCCTGGAATGGAGGGAAGGTCTTACGAGGAAAGGTTGAGAGAGCTAGGGCTTTTCTCTTTAGAACGATGAAGGATGAGAGGTGACTTGATAGAGGTGTACAAAATGATCAGAGGCATAGATAGAGTGGACAGCCAGAGACTTTTTCCTAGGGTGGAGGTAGCTATTATGAGGGGGTGTAGTTTTAAAGTGAGTGGAGGTAGATACTGGGGAGACGTCAGAGGTAGGTTCTTTACTCAGAGAGTAGTCGGAGCATGGAATGCATAACTGGAGAGGCTAGTGGAGTCGGCCTCATTAGGGGCATTTAAGCAGCTATTAGATAGGCATATGGATGATAGTATAAGGTAGGGGTGGAGGTTAGATCGACCTTAGGATTAGGGTAAAAGTTCGGCACAACACTGTGGGCCGAAGGGCCTGTACTGATCTATGGTCTTTGTTCTATGAACTCCATCTGCCATTTGTCGGCACATTGACCCATTTGATCAAGATCCCTTTGTAAACTCGGAAAATCTTCTTCACTGTGTACAATGGCACCAATTTTGGTGTTTGTCTGCAAATTTACTAACCATTCCTTCTATATACTCGTCCAATCATTTGTATAATTATTTTAGATCCTGAGAGGTCTTGATAGGATGATGTGGAGTCAACACCCCTTCTTGTATCTAGAATTAGGGGACACGTTTAGAAATGAAGGGTTGCCCATTTAAATCAGAGATGAAAGCAAAGTCATAAACAAGAATCCTTACATTGCAGAAAGATGCCATTTGGCCCATCAAGTCTGCATCAGCCCTCCGAAGCTCATCCCACCTATCCCATTACCCTACATTCACCATGGCTAATCCTCTGAGCTTGCACATCCCTGAACTTTATGGGGCAATTTAGCATGGCCAATCCACCTAACTTGCACATCATTGGGCTATGAGAAGAAACTGGATCACCCAGCAGAAACCGACGCAGACACAGGGAGAACATGCAAACTCCACACAGACAAGGCTAGAATCCAACCCCTATTTTCGATAAAATAGAAGGTGAAAGGTCATCAGAATGCAGACTTCAGAATACAATCAGATCTTCCATGATTGTATTAAACAGCAAAACAGGCTTGAGGGGCCAAATGGCCTACTCCTGTCCCTTACACATGTGTTCATACGTCTGTACATTTGGGGAATGGGGTCAGTTTGCTTGGACAGTTGGTTTGTTGCTGCCGCTCTGCATCGCAGTGTGGGTTCAATTCCTGCACTGGCTGAGGTTACCATGAAAGATTCTCCTTCATACCCTCTCCCTTTACCTGAAGTGTGTTGACCCTCAAGGTTAAGCCACCACCAGGTGTCTCTCTCTCTCTCTCAGTGTCTCTAATGTGAGAGCAGCCCTATGCTCTGGGAAGACTATGAAGACTTAAGTACTTTATATTTGTGGTCATGTGAATAGATTCAATATCCAGGGGTCCAGGCTAATGTTCTGCTTTTGTGGGTTTAAATCCCACTGAGGCATCTGGTGGAATTTGAACATAATTACTAAAATCTGGAATTGAAAATTAGTTTTAGTGAAGGTGACTATGAAACCAACGTCGATTGTTGGAAAAAACATCTAGTTTGCTGATGTCCCTTGGGGAAGGAAATCTGCCATTCTTATCCAGTCTATGACTCCACACCCACAGTCAATTTGATTGACTCTTAACTGCCTCGCAAGGGCAATTATGGGCCTGAAGCAGAGGGTGGGCAACATAGGGTGGGCATGTTAGTGATGCCCACATCCCCTAAGCAAAGCTGAGAAAGGAGGAAATTCCGGACAAACTTCTTTTTGCAGAGAATATTTAGAATATAGATGTCACTAGCATGCAAAACGACTGAGGTGAATAGTGTTGATTTACAGGAAAGCCAGATAGACAAATGAGGAAGAAAGGAATAGAAAGTTCTCATGATGATAGAATGAAATGTCAAGAGATAGGGGGTAGGGTTGTATAGAGCATAAACATCAGCACGGGCCCAATAGTCTGAATGGCCTGTTTCTATTCTGTACACCCAATGTAATTCAGTGAGAGCATCCAAACAGCTGTGCCCCAGCATGTAATTCCCTCTTTGTCGTTGCTGCAGGAAGGCTGGTCCTTGTTGCTGATCAGCACAGTCGGGCTCACAATATCCCTGCTGTGCCTTGCCGCCTCCATCGTTGTGTTCACAAGGTGCCACTCCATCCAAAAGGCCAACATCATTGTGTACAAGCACCTGAGCATCAACCTCTTCCTGGCACAGCTCATCTTCCTGACAGGAATCCATGTGACAAACAAGGTGAGAAAGCCGGCCCGTAGACCACTTCCCTCAGATAGGCAGCTGAACCCAGGCTCCTGATCCACGCCACAGGACCCTCGCCCTGTGCTTTCTCCCTGAGCTGTCTACCATACCCCTGCATTATCCAGAAATTCACCAAAGATCCTCAGACAACTAATGCCCAGATTGAACAGAAAAATTAACTTTATTTTGCCTTAGCCTCTAATGCAGGTTTTTGTATGCCAATTATTTCTCAGATGAACTGCTCTCAGTCTGGCCAAACTCATTCTTAACTTCCTTATTCTGGTCTTGACACTTGATCCTCTCTTTCTGTCATTCGATCATAGGATATCACCATCCGTAGTTGCCCTGGAGAAGGTGGTGGTGAGCTAGCTTCTGGAGCTGCTGCAGTTCGTGTGGTGTAGGAACACACACACACACACGCACACACACACACACACACAGTACTGTTAGGGAGGATTTAGACTGAGCATCAGTGAGGAAAAGAATATATTTTCTACGTCAGGATGGAACGGGGCTCGGAGGAGACCTTGCAGGTGGTGATGTTCCTTTGTATCTGCTGCCCTTGTACTTCTGGATGGTCACAGCCACAGGTTTGGAGAGTCCTACAGAAGGACTGGACTAACATTCCCTCTAACCTTCCCTCCCCTGCTGTGTGAAAGAACAAAACTTGTGAGGAATGAGGAGGGTTGCCCCGATGCCCTGCTCTTGCTGATATTTTTAGACAGAGGTGCTGGGGAATGTGGCATTTTGTTTCATTTAATATTGGTGGTGGGCTCCCAGGGGGATTCCTGTTGGCCAAGAGAGTGCTCATCCACTGCCCAGTCCAAGATTTCCACCAGTCCTTCCTTACCAAAAGAGGAAATCGACATTTGAAGGAACAGAGAAGTATCCTAAGGATTGGCTGATCATTTGCTTCATCAGTTTTGGCACTGGTCCTGTATGCCATGATGAATGGGGACCACAGAGGAGTCTCCACGGGAGGTACCTCAACACCAGCTCATCCATCATTATTGTATCCGTTCCACAGCGGATGCACAATTGGTTTTGATGAGTATCTGGAAGTGGAGCCCAGCCCTAAGTCCTTCCTGGCCCCACTCAGATCTCAGTGAATATCCTGCGCAACCCTAGATGGGATTGTGAACGGAATTCCATTTGCTGTCATCATCAAGATGTACAGTCAGACACGGAATAACACAGTTAAAGCCACAGAGATCTACACCGCAAAAAATAAATGCCGTTCAGCATGTTGCACCTGTGCCAGTGAAAAGCAGGCACCTCACAATTCTAATCCCATTTTCCAACACTTGGTCCATAGCCTTATATGCCTAGGCATTGTTAGTGCACATCTCAATACTTCTTCAATGAAGGTTTCTGCCTCTCCCATCATTACAGGCAGTGAGTTCAACTGGGTGAAAAAGTTGTTCTTCATATTCCCTTTAAATCTCCTGGCCCTTACCTTAAATCTGTGCCTCTTGGTCATTGATCCATTCCTCAAGTTAAAAAGTTTCTTCCTGTCTATGCTGTCTTTGCCTTCATAATGTTTCATAACTGAAACTCTCAGTCCACCTGATCAGCCTGTCTATATCCTCCTGTAGTCTAAGGCTGTTGTCCTCACTGTTTACTGTTCTACCTCAGCTCAGGTGAGCACCTACCGCTCATCAATATAACTTCCATTACGCCATCCTCCTCTATCTGTTAGTAGATCAGGGCCCTGCTGATAGTTGAATGATCTTTAAAATCAACAGAGTCTGGCCCAAAATGCTCCAAAATGCAGCATTACAGTGCAGAAATGTACTGTAAGGGTACTGTAAGTGCATTGGGACGTGCCATGATGATGTAGAGAGACCAGAACATGTTGAATGTTAAGATCAGAGGGTGTGGGGTGTTTGTGGTTGCTGCCTATGGTGTGTGGCTGAGATATTGATGCCGCGTGTGTCCAAGACAGAGCTTCAGAGGAGCAAGTGTTGAGCTGCAGTTACCAGGGACCTGTGCAGAATTTCACTTTGGGAATTCTCAGCATCCGGTTTTTATCTGGCAGGTTGTAGAAAAGGAACCTGCCTATTAATGAGACAGGATTAAATAATAATGAGGATGATATTGAATAATGTTCCCAGTTAGTAGACCCCACACTGCTCATTAGTGAGAATCTCATGTCCATGTCCAGAACTATGTTGGAAAATACAAATTGTTGCTCCTGACATCAAGAAAGACCTCACTCCGACTTCTCACACAAATCTTCCAGATTTCTCACCATAGCCCATGTCATTCAGGGCCTGGGAAGATTCTGCCCCTTTCTATTGGAACATGACCAGTGCAGTTACTGCCCATTATAAACATTTTAGGAGTTATTGTTCAGATATAAAATTGTTGCTGCCCATATATAGTGAGCTGTTAATATCTATATGTAAGATCCACTGATTCTGTCTGATAAATAAGCTGTAAGTGTGAGAGATAACATTTTATTTCACAGTAAAGTTCCTGTGGCCGTGTGCGATGCAACTTCCTCCAATGCAGTGGCTGCTCGCATAGATAATGTAAAGTGTGTAAAAATATTGAGGTTGGTGCTCAGAATCGCAGTGTATGAGACAGTCTTGCTGAAACATTTCCTTTGGTGAGGTTGGAAAGTCATGAGATTAGGAACATCGTGTCTAATCCTGTGTGAGTGCAAGGGATCAGATGGTGTTAGCTAACTATGTATTTTTAGTTTAAGAAGGCATCATGAGATTCACTAGGTTGATTCCGGAGTTGAGGGGGTTGGCTTATGAGGAGAGACTGAGTAGATTGGGATTATATTCATTGGAATTCAGAAGATTGAGGGAGGATCTTATAGAAACATAAAATTATGAAGGGAATAGATAAGATAGAAGTAGAGAGGATGTTTCCACTGGCAGGTGAAGCTAGGACAAGAGGGCATAGCCTCAAGATTAGAGGGAGCAGATTTAGGACTGAATTGAGAAGGAACTTCTTCACCCAGAGGGTTGTTAATCTACGGAATTCCTTGCCCAGTGAAGTAGTTGATGCTACTTCAGTAAACGTTTTTAAAGATAAGATAGATTTTTTTTGAACAATAAAGGAATTAAGGGATACGGTGAGAACGCGGGTAAGTGGATCTGAGTCCACGAAAAGATCAGCCATGATCTTATTGAATGGCGGAGCAGGCTCGAAGGGCTGGACGGCGTCCTTATGTTCTTATGTTCTTTTATGTGAACTTATACTGTAACAGAAACTGTATTGAGTGTGAAATTTAAATGGATGGAAGGAATAGATGTCCAGCCAGGAATGCTGATATGTTCTCAGCTCAGTTCTGCTCGTTCACGGAATAGAGTGTGTATGCAGTCTTAGATGTATGACAGTGTGAGATGTTTGGAGGTGATGAGTTTACAAAGAACAAGAAGAACAAATAACAGAAAAGCACGGGAACAGGCCATTCGACCCAACAAGACTGCACCAACACGTGATGCTTTTTTAAACTAAAATCCTTTTGCCCCCATGTGGTCCGTATCCCTCTATTCCCTGCCTACTCATCTATCTGCCAAGATACCTCTTAAACATTGCTGTTGTATCAGCCTCCACCACCTCCTCTGGCAGCACATTACAGGCATTTATGACCTTCTGTGTAAAAAGCTTTCCTGTCTCATCTTTTTAAACTTTCCCCCATTTACCTTAAATCTCTGTCCCCGAGTAATTGACGTTTCTTCCCTGGGAAAATGACTCTGATTATCAAATCTATCCATGCCTCTCATAATTTTGTAAACTCCTATGAGGTTGTCCATTTCAACGTTCAAGTGAAAACAAACTAAGTTTGTCCAATCTCTCCTCATCACTAATAACCTCCAAACCAGGCAACATCCTGGTTAACCTTTTCTGTGATAACAAGGTGTGGAGCTGGATGAACACAGCAGGCCAAGCAGCATCAGAGGAGTAGGAAAGCTGATGTTTCGGGCCTAGACCCTTCTTCAGAAACCTTTTCTGTACCTTTTCTCCAAAGCTTCCACATCCTTCTGGTGTGGCGACCAGAACTGGACACCGAATTCCAATTTGTGGCATAAATGCTAGCCTTGACTCAGAAACAGAAATTGTTGGAAAAGCTCAGCAGGTCTGGCAGCATCTGTGGAGAGAAATCAGAGTTAACATTTCGGGAACTGATGGTAGCTAGGAAAATGTCAATTTAAATGCAGAAGATAGGGTGAGGGGAGAGAAAAAGGGAAAAACAGTAGGTGGGGATAGAGCCCAATGAGAGAGAAAAGAACAGCTGGACAGACAAAGGAGTGGATAACAATCTGGCAAGGAGGATGAATAGCTATTAATGGGGACTGTTAGTGACTAATAATGGTTTGTGTGTAATAGCAGAATGTGATAACAATGTCTGGTGTGTGGGGTAGGGGTAAGGACATGTGAGAGCTCAAGCCCTAAAGTTCTTGAACTCTATATTGCATCCAAAAGGTCCCCAAGCAGAAATGAGGTGTTGTTCTTTCAGCTTGCGCTGAGCTTCAGTGGAGCACTGCAGCAGGCCTGAGACAGATGTTGGCCAGGGAACAGGGTGGTGTGTTAAAGTGGCAAGGAACTGGAAGCTCAGGGTCTTTTTTGCGTGCAGAACGTAGATGTTCTGTGAAGCAGTCACCCAGTCTACGCTTCATTTTCCCAATGTAGAGGAGACCACATTGTGAGCAGCGATTGCAGTAGACTAGATTCTGGGAAGTGCAGATAAAGCCCTGCTTCACCTGGAAGGTGTGTTTGGACCCTTGGATACTGAGGAGGGGAGAAGTAAGGTTCTGTGATTGCAGGGGAAGGTGCCGTGGGGCTGTGACTGGGGTGTTGGGAATGAAGAAAGAGTGGACCAAGGTGTCCCAGAGGGAATGCGGAAGACTGACAAGGGAGGGGAGGAGGGTATGTGTCTGGTGGTGGCATTCCACTGGAGTTGGCAGAAATAAGAGCTAATGATCTTCTATATGTGGATCCTGGTGGGATGGTAGGTAAGGACAAAGGGGACCCCATCGCAGTTGCAGGAGGGAAGAGAGGGGGTGAGAGCTGAAGTGTGGAGTTGGGTCGGACCCGGTTGAGGGCCCTGTCAACAAAGGTGCTGGGGAATCCTCATTTGAGGAAGAAGGTGGACAGTTTGGGGTTTTTTTTGTCAACGTTCGTATCATCAGACCAGATGCGGTGGAGACGGACGAAATGGGAAAAAGGAATAGTCTTTACAAGAAGCAGGGTGTGAGGATGTATAGTCATGGAAACTGTGAGAATTGGTGGATTTTGGTGGCCAGGTTATCCCCAGAAATGGATACAGATGTTGAGCTAGTGAAGGGAGAATTCAGAGATGGACCAGGTGAAAGTGAGATTGGGGTGGAAATCAATAAAATGAAATCAATAAACTTTTCCTCTTGAGGATGAGAGAGGGAAGCAGCACCAATGATATCATTGATGTACAGGAGAAACAGTTGTGCGTGGCACCCAGAACAGGACTGGAACAAAGCATGTTCCAAGGAATGTTTAGGCTGAACAGCGTATTTCTGTGCGGTGAATTCCAATGTAATTCAGTGAAATTTGAGCAAAATCTGCCCAGTATAATGCTGACAAGACAGCAAAGATTACAACCAGCAGCAGTTAAACACAGACATGGCAATCTCTCATAGTAATGTGAGCAGAGGAAGTCACACAATCCATTATAGCCATTGCTGGAGATATGATTATTAGAAACAGAGAAAATAGGTGCAGGAGTAGGCCATTTGGCCCTTCGAGAGTGCACTACCATCCAATATGATCATGGCTGATCATGCAGTTTCAGTGCCCCACTCCCACTTGATCTCCACACCCCTTGTCCCTCCAGTTGCAAGGGAACGTCCAGCTCCCTCTTGAATGTATGTAATGACCAAGCCCCAACAGCGTTCTGTGGTAGAGAATTCCACAAGTTCACAACTCTCTGAGTGAAGAAATACTTCCTCATCTCAGTCCTGAATGGCTTACCCCTTATTATTGGAACAGAGCAGTGTAATGTTCCTCAGCTTTGTGGAATTCATGCTAATCTCTTTGATCATTTTCACATACGTCTAAACCAGAGAACTTGAGGTTAGGAGGCATGTGACACTGTTCCTTTACCTCAGAGAGCAGGGTGCGAAGTCAGCCCACATATACTGCGTTCTGTGTTCTAGCCCCTGTGTGTGAAATGAGTTTGGATAAACTCGATCCAAATCCCACTGTACATCTGAAATACATTACTGGCTGGCATGATGGATGTGACTGTGTACTAAGCAGGTCCCTGCTCGCTTTTAACGGGAGTCTTGTCCACAGCCTGAATTGCCACTATTAATATTACATCGCCTGGCGACACAATGGGTGGGAGGTTGATATTTAAGGTATTAACCACTCACCTGACTCTTCCGTGCCCAATGGAGGGCTGGATTAAAATCAAGGCCAATTGGGTTTTATCAGCCAGGTCACTTGGTGGACTCAAATCTTGTAATTTGTGAAACTGACCTCATTATGTCTCTTAATTTGTCATTTAGCTTCAGGTAAAATGTCCACATGGAAGTTTCTGGATTGTTGTACAAAGCCAACTGGTATCACAACGGCTCTCAGGGAAAGGGACAGGACAACTGTGCCCAGTCTGGGCTGATGCACATGTATCAAACTCAGACATTGTGGTCTTTCCAACCAAACCCAGATCCATCCTCAGCTCCTGCTGGTTGAAACGTTGATGGACCTGTGCATGGGGAATGGGTGAAGGATTGGAGAATGAGTAAACCTTTTCAGGACAGTAAGAGAGGCAACTGAGGAACAAAATTCTAAAATGCTTCATTGTTTATCTCCTAGTGGCCTGCTTCATTTGGAGGCTGTGGTCAGCTCAGACATGTCCGCCTGGTTATGCCGAGCAAAATAATCATTGTGCGGGTAAGTGTTAAGCAAGATCAGGAGACCGTTGCATGATTGAAGACAATGCTCAGGTCTTTCCCCATCAGTTTCTGACCCTTTCGGCCAGACTAAGAGGAAGCTGCAGTGTCTGTATGTTACAGCATGGATGGATATCCCACAACCATGCCTCGCACCCATACGCACACCCAGACCCACACCCATACCTAAACCCATACCCATACCCAGACCCACTCCCATACACACACCCATACCTAAACCCATACCCATACCCAGACCCACACCCATACCCATACCCACACCCATACCTAAACCCATACCCAGACCCACACCCACACCCATACCCACACCCACACGCACACCCAGACCCACACCCATGCCTAAACCCATACCCACACCCAGACCCACACACATACCTAAACTCATACCCATACCCAGACCCCCACCTATACGCACACCCAGACCCACACCTAGACCCACACCTATACGCACACCCAGACCCACACCTATACGCACACCCAGACCCACACCCAGACCCACACCCATATTTAAACCCATACCCAGGTTCTTTACTCACTGTTATAGTGCACATTCACTCCGAGCCTTATCTAGATGCTCACAGAATCCCTGCCTTATGTTATCTTGTCTTTTTGTGCTTTACACCTCAGCCCCACACACCAGGCTCATAATTTATCTGATGAAGAGTCGTATGCATAGGATCTAACATGACTTGGCCGCATGGATTCAGAATAGGTTTGCCCATAGAAGGCAGAGAGTATTGGTGGAAGGTTGTTTTTCAGGCTGGAGGTCCATGGTGTTCCATAGGGATCCATTTACAGTTTGTGATATATATAAATGACTTGGATGAAAATGTAGATGGGTTAGTTAGTAAGTTTGCAGACAATACAAAGATTGGTGGAGTTGTGGACAGCGTAGAAGGTTGTCAAAGGATACAGCAGGATATAGATCAGTTGCAGATATGCGTGGAGAAGTGGCAGATGGAGTTTAATCCATATAAGTGTGAGGTGCTGTACTTTGGGAGATCAAATGTTAAGAAAAAGTATACAGTTAATGGGAGGACCCTGAACAGCATTGATGTACAGAGGGATCTTGGAGTTCAAATCCATAGCTCCCCCGAAAGTTGCCAAACAAGTAGATACAGTGGTAAAATGGCGCTTGCCTTTATTGGTCAGAGAATTGAGTACAAGAGTCAGGATGTCATATTGCAGCTTTATAAGACTTTGGTTAAGCCACATTTAGGGTATTGTGTCTAATTCTGGTCGCCACATTAGTGGAAGGATGTGGACGCTTTGGGGAGAGTGCAGAAGAGGTTTACCAGCAGCTGCCTGGCTTACAGGGTATGAACTATAAGGAGAGGCTAGAAGTACTGGGGTTATTTTCTATGAAGTGGCGGAGGTTGAGGGGAGACTTGGTAGAAGTCTATAAAATTATGAGATGTGTAGATAGGGTTGACGGTCAGAATCATTTTCCCAGAGCTGAAATGTCTAAATATGGGTCATGCATTTATCGTGAAAGGGGGAAAGTTCAAAGGAGATGTGAGGGGCAAGTTTTTCACACAGAGAGTGGTGGGAGTTTGGAACATGCTGCCAGGGGTGGTGCTGGAGACAGATACAATAGGGGTGTTTAAGAGACTTTTAGATAAGCACATGAATATGCAAGAAATGGAGGGATATGGACAAAGGGCAGGCAGAAGGGATAAGTTTAATTTGGCATTATGTTCGGCAAAACACCATGGCTGGAGGGCCGGTTCGTGTGCTATACTGTTCTATATTCTGTGTATATATCAGATTTGAAACGTTAATTCAGTTTCTCTCTCCACAGATGTTGCCAGAGTTTCTCCAGCACTTTCTGATTTTTTTCTTCAAATTTCCAGCATTTGCAGTATTTTGCTCATACTACTTCTGCCTGGCCTTGCTATTTAGCACAGACTCAAAGGAATGAACCATGTCATGGTTATCAGCAGGTCACAGGCAAGTCATAGAAACACAGAGAACAGGAACAGGAGTAGGCCATTCAGCCCTTCCAGCCTGTTTCAAAATTTATTAAGATCATGGCTGATCATCCAATTCAGTTGCCTATTTTTGCTTTTCCTTCATATCCTTTGATCCCCTTAGCCTCAAGTGCTATATCCAGCTCCTTTCTGAAATCCTACAATACTTTGGCCTTGACCACTTTCTCTGGTAGCGAATTCCAGAGACTCACCACTCTGTGGGTGAAGAGATATCTCCTCATCTCAGTCCCAAATGGTTTACCCCATATCATTAAACAGTGACTTCTGATTCTGGACTCTCCCGTAATTGTGAACATCTTTCCTGTATCTTCCCCTGTCTCATCCTGTTAGAAGTTTATAGTTGTCTACGAGGTGCCCCTTCATTGTTCTGAACTTCAGTGAATGTAATCCTAACTGATATAATCTCTCCTCATATATCAGCCCCACCATCGCAGGAATCAGATGAATGCACTGCCTCCTTGACCGCAACATCCCTCTTCAGATAAGGAGACCAAAACTGCCTACAAAGTCAACGGCGACAGACCTTGTTCAGAAGTTCCTGCACGATGTGCCCCCTAATTTTCTTAATGGCTTCATGGCTCTCAAAGGCCTGTCCACAGAAAGCAGTAGGATGATCAGCCATGATCATATCGAATGACAGAGGGTACTCGAAGGGCTGAATAGCCTACTCCTGCTCCTGTTCACTATGTTTCTATATTCAAGGCACATGCAATGGATTTCCGCATGACAAAAAAGTTGAGGGTTATGAGGAACAGACAGTAAAGTGGAGTGAAGGCCACTATCAGGTCAGCTATTGAATGGTGCAGCAGGCTTGAGAGGCCGAGTGGTCTGCTCATTCTTGTATACTTTAGGTTTTAGTTCAAGAAAAATAGTGATCCAGCCATTAACAAATTTCACTGTTGACACAGATATCAATGAGTGTGAATCATCACTGTGTGATCCATCTGCAACATGTCTGAACTTAATTGGGAGCTGTGACTGTCACTGTGATACAGGGCTTACTTGCATTCCTGGGAGTTTCGGCATTAGAACAACTTGTAAAGGTAAAGGGGATAATCTTACAAGCAGTTGTACGGGAGCACCAATATATTGTTTGTGATAAGGTTATCAACTCTCCAGGGTGGTCAGGACTCCAAAGCAATTAGAGACTGATGTCTGAATCAAATCCGGGAGAAAAATCGGAGGGTTAATGGAGATGTTGCAGAGAAGGGAAAGGTCGAACTCCTCTGATAATTAAACCAAAACACAAGCCCCAATCTGTTATTGTGGGGAATAGAGGTTCCCTTCTAATAATTAAACGCAATACACCCAGAGAAGCTTGCCTCACCTTTATAACCTGTTAAAAGAGTGGTTAAATGAAATAAAATCCCTGATATCCACTTTATAAGTTACAAGTAACAATTTATTTATTTAACCCTAACAGTGAACAAATTAACAGCATTACTAACAAGCTAAACAATTCACTCCCAGAATACTAACTACTCCCTAAGTGACCTAAATTCTCCTGGGATGCTGTTTAAATAAACACAAGTCTCATTTATATAAACCCAATTAAAAGACAACAATATATTAAAACTTAATCACTCCAAATTCGCACAGACTGTGTATTCTGGAATGCTGTGCCTTCTCTGCTTTGCCACAAAAACCTTTCTTCCAATGATTCTGCCGTCAGCGATTTTTTTCTCTGTAATTAATTTAGTGAGGACTTTGAGCTAAAATGCCGTGATACCTTTTTCGGATAGATGGTGCTTTCTTAGAGAGCTTAGTGATTTCTTGTGAGAACTCAGGGCTTATTTCTCAGATGGCAGGCTTGCTGTCCCCTCAGATGACAGTTGGCTCTCGACCCAAGTGTCATAAATCCTCATCTTATATACCAACCCCCGCCCGATGACAAACCAACTTCTTATAATATGATTGGTTTCAGGTTGTCAAAACCATCAGTTTTAAATTCAATTGGTTTTCTGCACCTAGGTGCTTGATTTAAGTTAGTTGGCTAAATTCAAACTTGTTGTCTCAATACCAAAACAAAACTGCTGTTTTGCCGCCAAAGGGTAAAGGGTTTAACCCCATTCCTGGGAACTCTGGCAATGCGACAATTTGTAAAAGTAAGGAGAATAATCTTACAAGCAATCAAATAGGGGCACTGATCTCTTGTTTGTAAGAAAGTTGTCAGTTCTCCACGATGGTCCTGGACTCCAAAGGAATTAGAGACTTATGTCCAAGTGAAATTCGCAAGACATATCAGAAGAATAATTAAGAAAACAAGGAACAAACAATAGTACAGTGCAAGAACAGGCCTTTTGGCTTACCTAGACTGCGCAGACAGATTGATGCCTTTCTCAACCAAAGACCTTTTGCCTCAACATGGTCCATATTCCCTGCATATTCTTTTATGTATCAAACTCGCTAAGAATGTTACTGATCTATCCACCTCCACCAATTCCTATTCTCTATGTTTCTATATTCAAGGCGGCTAAGATAGATTTCCATTTGAGAAAAGAATTGAGGGTCATGAGGAACAGCCAGGAAAGTGGAGTGAATGCCACAATTGGGTCAGCTATTGAATGGTGGGGCAGGCTTGAGGGGCCAAGGGCCTGCTCATGCTCCTATATCTTAGGTTCTAATTTGATCAAACTGTGATCCAGGCATTAACAAACATTGCTGTCTATACAGATATCGATGAGTGTAAATCGTCACCATGTGATCCATCCTCAATATGTTGCAACTTATTTGGGAGCTATGAGTGTTACTGTGGTAAAGGGTTTACCCCCATTCCTAGGAGCTCCAGAATTGCAACAATTTGTAAAGGTAAGGAGGATAATATTATGAGCGACTGAATGGGAGCACTAATCTCTTGTTTGTAAGAAGGTTGTCAGTTCTCCAGGATGGTCCTAGACACCAAAAAATTTAGAAACGAATGTCCAAGTCCGACCCAGGGGAGAAATTGAAGGAATAATTAAGAAAACACGGAGCAAACAACAGCGCAGCACAAGTACAGGTCCTTCAGCCCACCAAGATTGCGCAGACAGTTTGATGCCTTTTTAAACTAAAAGCCTTTAGTCTCTACATGGTCCGTATCTCTCTTTTCCCTACCTATTCTTGTATCTCTCAAAATGCCTCAAAAAGTTGCTGTTGTATTCACCTCCACCACCTCCTCTGGCAATGCATTCAGAAGTTCCTACATTCGTGCCCCTAATTATCATAATGTCTGCACAGAATGACCTGTGTGCAAAGGAGCCAGTCAGATGATCAGCCATGATCATATTGAATAAGAGAGCATAGTCAAAGAGCTGGGGTGTCTGCTCATGCTCTTAAATCTTAGGTTCTAATTTGAACAAAATGGTGATCCAGCCATTAACAAACATCACTGTTTTACACAGATATCGATGAGTGTAAATCGTCACCGTGTGATCCATCCACAACATGTCGCAACTTAATTGGGAGCTATAAGTGTTACTGTGGTAAAGGGTTTACCCCCATTCCTGGGAGCTCCGGCAATGCAACAACTTGTAAAGGTAAGGAGGATAATCTTAACGCGCGATTAATTGGGGCTTTTATTTCTTGTTTGTGATAAGCTTGTCAGTTCTCCAGGATGGTCCTGGACTCCAAAGGAATTAGAAACTGATCTCCAAATCAAATCCATTAGAAAAATTGAAGGGATAATAAAAAAAAGGAAGAAAATATAGTACAGCACAAGAAGAAGCCCTTTGGCTCATCAAGACTGCACTTACAAAGATGACTTTTTAAATCCCTGCTCCAATTCCCTATGTTTCTATATTCAAAGAGTATGAGATGGATTTCCGATTGACAAAAGAATTGAGGGTCATGAGGAACATACAGAAAAGTGGAGTGAATGCCATAATCTGGTCAGCTATTGAATAGTGGGGCAGGCTTGAGGGACCAAATAATCTGCTCATGCTCCTGTTTCTTAGGTTATAATTAGAGCAAAATAGTGATCCAGCCGTTAACGAACATCACTGTTTACACAGATATCAATGAGTGTAAATCATCACCGTGTGATCCATCCACAACATGTCGCAACTTGAATGGGAGCTATGAGTGTTTCTGTGGTAAAGGGTTTAACCCCATTCCTGGGAGCTCCGGCAATGCAACAACTTGTGAAGGTAAGGAGGATAATCTTACAAATAATTAAATTCATGTATCCACAAAGATGCCTCAAAACGTTGCTGTTTTATCCACCTCCTCTGTCAGTGTGTTGAGAACTTCCTGCATGGGATGTGCCATAATTTTCTTAATGGCTGCATGGCTCTCAAAGGCCTGTGCATAGAAGGAGTAGGATGATCAGCCATGATCATATTGAATGATAGAACATACTCGAAGGGCCGAATGGCCTACTCCTGCTGCTATTCTTTATGTTTCTATATTCAAGGCATGTGAGATGGATTTTCGATCGACAAAAGAGTTGAGGGTTATAAGGAACACACAGGAAAGTGGAGTGAAGGCTATATACAGGTCAGCTATTGAATGGTAGAGCAGACTTGAGGGGCCGAGTGGCCTGCTCATGCTTCTATATCTTAGGTTCTAATTCAAGTGAGATAGTGATACTGCCATTAACAAACATCACTGTTTTACACAGATATCGATGAGTGTAAAACGTCACCGTGTGATCCATCCTCATTATGTCGCAATCTGAATGGGAGCTATGAGTGTTACTGTGGTAAAGGGTTTACCCCCATTCCTGGGAGCTCCGGCAATGCAACAACTTGTAAAGGTAAGGAGGATAATCTTACGAGCAATTAAGTGGGGGTCACTAATCTCTTGTTTGTGATAGGGTTGCCGTTTCTCCCATATGGTCCTGCACTCCAAAGGAATTAGAGACTAATGGCCAAGTTGAATCCGGGAGAAGAATCGGAGGGATAATGAAGAAAACAAACAACAGCACAGCTCAAGAATAGGGCCTTTGGCCCACACTGATTACGTAGACACACAATACCTTTCTTAGCTAATAACCTGTTTAGTCGACGTGGTCTGAATCACTCCATTCCCTGCGTACTCTTGTATCTGTCAAGATGGCTCAAAACGTTGCTGTTGTATCTGCCTCCACCGCCTCCTCTGGCAGAGCATTCAGAAGTTCCTGCACAGCGTGCCCCTAATTTTCTTAAAGGCCGCATAGCTCTCCAAGGCCTGCGCGTAGATGAAATGCGGTGATCATATTGAATGGTGGAGCAGGCTTGAAGGGCTGAATGGCCTACTCCTGCTCTTATTCCCTATGTTTCGAAATTCAAGGCACATACAATGGAGTTTTGATTAACAAAAGAGTTGAGGATGATGAGGAACAGACAGGAAAGTGGAGTGAAGGCCATAATACGGTCAGCTATTGAATAGTGGAGTAGTCTTGAAGGTCCGAGTGGCAAGCCCATGCTTCTATATCTTTGGTTCTAATTTGAGCAAAACAGTGTTCCAGGCATTAACGAACATGACTGTTTTACACAGATATCGATGAGTGTGCATCGTCACCGTGTGATCCATCCGCAATATGTCGCAACTTGAATGGGAGCTATGAGTGTTACTGTGGTAAAGGGTTTACCTCCATTCCTGGGAGCTCCGGCAATGCAACAACTTGTAAAGGTAAGGAGGATGATCTTCAGAGCGATTCAATGGGTCACTAATCTCTTGTTTGTGATAAGGTTGTCAGTTCTCACGGATGGTCCTGGACTCCAAAGGATTTAGAGACTAACATCCAAGTCAAATCCAGGAGTAAAATCGGAGGAATAATTAAGAATAATAGTGCAGCTCAGGGATAGGTCCTTTCACCCTCCAAGACTGCACGCACTCATGATGCCTGTCTCATATAAAAGCTTTTTGCCTCTTCATGGTCCTTATCACTGTATTTCCTGCATATTCAGACATCTGTCAAGATGCCTCTTTAACTTTTCTCTTGTATGCGTCTCCACCACCTCCTCTGGGAGCCCATTCCAGGCACATACCACCCTCTGTTTAAATAACCTGCCTCTCACATCTGCTTGAAACACTTCCCTTAAATCTATGTCCCCTCATAATTGACAATTGTACCCTGGGAGAAAGACTCCAACTATCCATCCTATTCACGCCTCTCGATTTTCTTAATGTATTCTAAAGATATTAAGGACACCAGGAAACAAAATGTTGTTGTGCAAGGATGGACATTTTGAAGCAGAGGTTGGATGTGATCATTATTATAGGATTTCTGAGGGTCTGTAGTTTCCACGGGGCCCAAACTTGTGCATGTAGTGCCAGTGAGGGACTGGAGAATGGTTCCAGGATCCAAATATCCCAGGTCGCAGCCGAAAGGCTCAGAGACCATTTCTAAACTTGGTGCACTCCTGACCACAGCCCTCGTTATAAGCGTTGTCCACTGGAATCAGCCAAACTCTTGTTGCCTCCGTTAGAATCTGAGTCTGGATCCAGGGCCAAAATGCTGAGCTCTGTGGGTTCTAAAGAATAGGCTGCCTGTAGGCAGAGGAGAAGACCATTCAGCCCCAGAAACATCAGCCTATTTCAATGAGATCATGGTTGATCTGCATCTGAACTCCAACCAGCTGCCTCTGTTGCATGATCTTTAATAGTCCTGGCTAATGGTTTGGTGCCCTTTGTGATGAAGGATGTACTTGCCTTGAATACGAAACACTGGAATTTCACTGGGTGCCTCCTGAGAGGAGTGGTTGATCCATGATGAGAAGTTCAGTAATTTGGGCCTACACATTGAAGTTTGGAAGCTCATAGAAGTTAATGATTAGCTTGCTAATCCTTTGAAACCTTCCTGATTATTCCCCAAAAGGGAGAACGTTTGCATGATGAGAGGTGAAAATGTGTGATCAAGACAGAATGCACTCGCCTACAGCGGTCCAATTGTTCCATTAAAGCACCATAGCATAAGTGCAGTATCTAGCACTTTGGTTATCAATCCCACAGATAAAATCTTAAGTATTCATGCTTCCACCATCCGCCCACCATCAGTGCCATGTGCACTATCTACAAAATGCACTGCAGCTGCTCATTTAAACACATCTCCAATACCCAGATGAACAAGAACATCAGACTGTTGAAATTACTACTGCAATTTTCCAGAAAGTTGTGATTGATTATAGAACCGGAGCCACTTTTTGCACACTTTTAACGGCATTTATTTATAGAGACACACTTTACAAGCATGCACCTCCATTCCTCTAATCTGTTCTTGTATGAAATGGCACAAGTGAATCCCAGATAATGTATGCAAAGAAATACAATTAAACTGAAATCTACTGCTTTCAACTTACCCTCTGAGCTGTACACCATCCTAATTTGAAATATCTTGCCGTTCCTTCAGTGTTGCTGGGTCAGAATCTAACTCAGGCTGGGGGTCAGTTCAAACCTAGAGGATGTATATATTTAATAGCTACTCAGAGACTTTGTGAAGAATTGAGGATAAACCATGTTAGCCAAAGAGTTGTTAAAATATGGAACTTGCTGCAGCATGGAGTAGTTGAGCATCAATACATGAGGTAGATGAGTACATGAGGGAGAAAGGAATAGACAGATATGTTGATGCGGTGAGACAGTGTTGGAGGAGGCTGTTAGGTGGAGCATCAAGACCACCATCCATCTAATGGACTGAATGGTCTTTTTCCATGCTGCAAATTCTGTGTAATGTAGATTATTAACACCAAGTTACCAGGCTTTATTCAAGTGGGAGTCTGTGTTGTCCAAGTTTGTTCAGTCGAGCTCTGGAGCAGTTGCTGTGATCTCTTTCCCTCTTCACTGCAGATGTGGACGAGTGTGAGGATGAAGATGTGTGTGGCAGGAATGCAACCTGTCATAACTCCTTTGGGAGTTACCACTGTATCTGTTGGGCAGGATTTCAGCCAGTTCCAGTACAGACAGGAAAGACCTGCACAGGTAAAGGCAATGATTAATGCGCAGAGCTACATGGAAATGATTATTGGCACTGGAGGTTTGGGTAGGCTTCTTGCGGGGAGGGGGGTGTGGTTGTCAGGCTACATATATGGGGGTTGAAATTAGGCTGGGCCCATTTCGAGGCCGAGACTCCTGATGGACCTTGGATACCTGAGGCCGAGGAAATTGGGCCTGAGGTCACCTTCTGGCATCTCCTGAGGAATTTTGGGGAACTGACTATGACTGTGAGGTCAGTTCCAGGGAAGACAGGGCCGGAAAAGGCAATGGTAGAAACTTTAGGATATCAGAAAGCTTGTGGAGCTGAAATTAAATTGAATTCATCTTTAGTTGCTAATTGCCAAGAATCACAAGATCGACCCTGCAGTGATTGGACTCAAGTGGAACTCATTGACAAAATCCTAGATTGGGTTTGTTAATCTGGGCCAATTAGGGAGCTCTGGATGACCAAAAGAAATAGGCAATTCAGAATCTCTTCACTTGAGGGACTGACTGTGAGCTGGCTGGTCACAGCCAGTGTACTGTGCACATGTAAATAATGGGTGACTTGGTGACACGACACAGGCCTCTGTGCAGTTATTTCAGATTCTGGGGAGGAAATTCTATTCATGGATTCTTCCCACATGTGCTAAGCCCCTCTTTGACAGAATTACAGGGCCTAAAGGATGCCTAAAACCTGATCTTCATTCACCTATAATTTGGACTGACCTCTCAGCAAGCTTGTTAGTATTGTGTATGTCAGTTTAGCTCAGTTATTACCATTCTGGGTCAGAAGGGTGTTGGTATGAAACACCATGCCAAGATTTGAGAGTGTAACTTAAGCTGTTTCTCCCCACCACACTCCCACCAAACCCCAGTGCTGTGCTGAGGGAATGCTGCATTGTTGGAGGAGCATCCTTCAGATGAGATGTCAAAACTGGGCCCCATCTGCCCATTCAGATGGTCATCAGAAATCTGGAGTAGGAAGATGGCAGGGTTTTGAACTGGGCATTAATGTTGAAAGATCTCTTAACTACTCTAATTTTTACAGTGCAACCTCTCAACTGTCCCAACCCAGAAAAACCAAACAATTCCACCCTCACACTGTGTGGTGGGGAAGCATTCACAAACCCTCAAACCGGTATGTGACCCGTATTGTTCCATTCTCAAACTGACACACTGAAACGATCCTGATGTTTAATGGGGTTCACTTCTTTGTACTCACAATTTTTGGTTTAACATCAGCGTGTATTTGAAATGTTACAGGATGATTATAATGGTCACAGGTAATGATTGCAGTTTGAAAATGTCGAAAAAGAGAAAATAATGTTTTAAAAATCAGCAGTTACTTTCTCAGCAAACCAGCACTTCACTGTTATCGAGCAACAGAATGTTCAAATATATCACCTTAGACATTGTTAAAAGAGTCCTCATTTGGAAGCTTCTCCCCTGCTCTGATATGGACAACTCGATCACTGAAAATTTATCATCTCCATGTTCATCCCCACAATCTGATCCCCCACCTCATTCGTTGGACAAGGTCTTGGGAAGCCACTCTGTCCCCAGGCAGGTTCATATTTTCTTGACCATACTCGAGGCTTTCAAATGAGATGTTAAACACAGATCCCATGTGCCTCCTTGGATAGAACCAAGATAACAGTGGTACTTCAGTGGAGAAAGCACATGGGAGCTTCCAGTAATGTCTAAGTCATCTCTTGATGTTCCATGGCATTACCACCACTGAATCCCGCACTATCAATGTCCTAGGGGTTACCATTGACCAAAAATTGAATTGGACCAGCAGTATAAGAACAGGGGCTACCAAAGCAGGTCAATCCTGCAGTGAGTAACTCATCTGCTGACTGTCCAAATCCTGCACACCATCAACAAGACACAAGTCAGGTGTGTGGTGGAATGAGTGTCTGGATGAGTGTCTCTCCAACAGCACTCAAGAAGCTGGATACCATTCAGGATAAAGCAGCCTACATGATTGGCCCCCATCCACCACCTTCAACGTTCTCTTCCTCCACCAGTGACGCACAGTGGGAGTACAGGATCCTATTAACAAGATGCACTGCAGCAACTCACCAAGGCTCCCATGGCAGCACCTGGGAAAATTGTCACCTCTAGGACAAGGGTAGCTGATGCCTGAGAACATCAGCAATCTCCAGGCCATACACCATCCTGACTTGGAATTATATCACCGTTCCCTTGCTGTAACTGATTCCAAATCCTGGAACTCCCCACACCCCTCCCCCATGAAGAGCACTCCAGGTTTCCCCTACACAAGATGGACAGCAAGAATTCAAGAAGGAAGTTCACCATCACCTTCTAGAGAGCAATTAGGTATGGGCAACGACTAATAAATACTGGCCTAACCAGTCACACCCATATCCCATGAACTGATACATTTTTAAAAAATTAGTTATAAAACAATTTTAAATACACGAAGGTCCATGCCAACAAGGTTCCCCGATACTGATGCTGTGAACTCCAGTGGGATAGAAGCAGATGTCACTGTCTGGTACAATCCCAGTGTCACCACGAGCGACACCAGCAATGTCATGTTCCTTATTTCCAGACGATACAAAGTTTATTCTCCAGGCTTTTGCTCTTGGGACTGTTGCTTTTGTGGATTTTCCAGGTTGGCTTGTCCAGTGATGGTTGTCAATGAGAAGGGGTGCTTTTTAACTATTGTCTTGTTCCACTGTCTCGCCAAACTCTGTGGGTAATGGATCTTGCTTCGTAATAGAATCAGTTCACCAATTACTTGACAAAGTCTGTCAGAATTTCAGCGTCACATATGATATCCAGGTAAGGAATTATAGGCCCAGTGTTTTTATTTTCTCCAAAAGTGACATGGTTCTGGTGCAGAGTGTTCTACTCTGCAAAGCCAGTCAGTGAAGAATGATACCAGAGCCAATCTTACCATAGACCTACATTTATTTACAGAGTGAAACAGTACAAGCATGTGCCTCCAAACTCAACCACCTGCAGTTTCAGTGAATGTCTTGTGATTTTTTTTTTAATTAGCCAAGTTTTCCGAATCAACCTGTTCAGAGATGTTGTTACGCACCTCTGGAGCAGGCGGGACTTGAACAGAGGCTTCTTCAGTCTAGGGATAGCAACACTGCCACTCCAAGAAGGCCCTTGAATGTCTTTTTATTTGGACTCAATTGAGATCCCAGTTAATGCCTTCCATCAGCATGTAATTAAACACAGCTGGTGAACAATTCACACAAAGGACTAGATTTTGGTGAGTTAATCTGATACACCAGACTTACATGTGTACTAAAAAATGGATAACATGGGTTTAAACCCCAGCTCTCTCTTTGTGCTGGGATTGCACCTGACTTCAGTTTAAGCCTGTAGCAAGCAGGGGTGAGTTATTTGCTTGACCTGTCAGGCAAAGGTGCTTGAGTTCACTTGGGACTTTGCAAACTCCCTTACAAAGAGGTCTCTTTTCTCGACAGCCATTTGATGGTAGACAATGAATGTCACATACGTAGATATAATCTTTATATTAGAGGAAAAGCTTGAGCAGGACTAAGAGGAATCGAGAGAGGCGTCCCTATCCCTGGAGCCTCCATCGCCCCAACTCTCCAAGGTGTTTGTGTTGCTCAGTTTCTGGCCTCTTGTGCATTTCTGAGCTCAATGGCACCATCATCACTTTCTGCTCCCAGGGCCCCAAGCTCTGGAATACCATATACATCAGCTTTTCTACCTTTCTTCATCATTTCCATGAGATCATAAAAATATAGAAACAGGAGAGAGCCATTCAACCCATTGGACCTCTTCCACCATTAAATAAAAGCAGGGACGATTTGGTTTTAACCATAACATCACTTCCCTTCCTGTCTCCCAAAACTTTGGCTTTAGCTTGTAGGGACCCATAAGACTTCCCTGCAATAGTGGACTAACCTATGTATGAAGCTGGTGCAAACATGACCATTGTAAAGGTAGGAGCGTTCAAATCACAGACTGTAAATTGGGCAGGATCTGAGTGATGTGTGCTAGTGGTAAAACAGTACGGGTTACATGTGATTGCAGACCCACAGCAATGGGATTGACGCTGAGCTCCATTCTGGAACAGACTTGGGAAGCCACTCAGTTCAAAGGCAACAAATGCTGGTAATTTGCAATGAGGACAAGGCAGGAGATTGGCACCTGGGCACAGAACCAGTGCAGGCACAATGGGCTGAGTGGCCTCCTTTGGCACCATTACAATTCTGTGATTCTGTGATTCTGTGAAAACTCTTGTTTTGGCTGTTCCTTTTATTTCAAAGTTTCTTTTTGTGAATTGCAGTTCACTGCTGTTGTGGTATGTTACAACAAATAGTAAGACAGAGGGGCATTAACCTCATTTATTGAGGCAGATAATTAGTACTCACAGGTAGAGGGGGTGGAGGGTGGCAACAGGGAAGGGGGAATAAGGGAGGCAGAAAGGAAGATCCCAAGACAATAACAGTGAAAAGGGTATGGAAAAAGGAGGTGAGAAAACAAAAATTTGAGGACGAAAGAGGACAAGGTGGTTCAGAGAGAAAAGGAATAAGAGAAAATGAATATAAGAAGGAAAATAAAACAAGCCCATTACTTCAAGAAGTCGTTACACAGTTAGTAGGAACTACCGATGCTGGAGAATCTGAGATAACAAGGTGTAGAGCTGAATGAACACAGCAGGCCAAGCAGCATCAGAGGAACAGGAAAGCTGACGTTTCGGATCTAGACCCTTCTTCAGAAATGGGGGAGGGGAAGGGGGTTCTGAAATAAATAGGGAGAGAGGGAGAGGCGGATAGAAGATGGATAGAGGAGAAGATAGGTGGAGAGGAGACAGACAGGTCAAAGAGGCAGGGATGGAGCCAGTAAAGGTGAGTGTAGATGGGGAGTTAGGGAGGGGATAGGTCAGTCCAGGGAGGACGGACAGGTCAAGGGGGCGGGATGAGGTTAGTAGGTAGGAGATGGGGGTGGGGCTTGAGGTGGGAGGTGTGGATAGATGGGAGGAAGGACAGGTTAGGGAGGCGGGGACGAGCTGGGCTGGTTTTGGGATGCAGTCAGGGGAGGGGAGATTTTGAAGCTTGTGAAGTCCACATTGATACCATTGGGCTGCAGGGTTCCCAAGCTAAATATGAGATGCTGTTCCTGCAACCTTCGGGTGGCATCGTTGTGGCACTGCAGGAGGCCCAGAATGGACATGTGGTCCAAAGAGTGTGAGGGTGAGTTGAAATGGTTCACGACTGGGAGGTGCAGTTGTTTAGTGCGAACCGAGCGTAGGTGTTCCGCAAAGCGGTCCCCAAGCCTCCACTTGGTTTCCCTGATGCAAAGGAGGCCACATCGGGAACAGCGGATACAGTATACCACATTAGCAGATATGCAGATGAACATCTGTTTGATGTGGAAGGTCTTCTTGGGGCCTGGGATGGGGGTGAGGGGGGAGGTGTAGGGGCAGGTGTAGCACTTCCTGTGGTTGCAGGGAGGGGTGCCGGGGGTGTTGGGGCTGGTGGGGAGTGTGGAGCGGACAAGGGAGTCACGGAGAGAGTGGTCCCTCCGGAAATTAGATAAGGGTGCGGAGGGAAAAATGTCTTTGGTAGTGGGGTCAGATTGCAGATGGCGGATGGCGGAAGTGCCGGAAGATGATGCGTTGGATCCAGAGGTTGGTGGGGTGGTACGTGAGGACGAGGAGAATTCTGTTTTGGTTGTTATTGCGGGGAGGGGGTGTGAGGGATGAGTTGCGGGAAATGCGAGAGACACGGTCGAGGGCGTTTTCGACCACTGTGATGGGGAAGTTGCAGTCCTTGAAAAACAAGGACATCTGGGATGTCCGGGAGTGGGATGCCTCATCTCGGAAGCAGATGCGGCGGAGGCAAAGGAATTGGGAATAGGGAATGGCATTTTTGCAGGAAGGTGGGTGGGAGGAGGTGTATTCTAGGTAGCTGTGGGAGTCGGTAGGCTTGAAATGGATATCGGTTTCCAGGTGGTTGCCAGAGATGGAAACAGAGAGGTCCAGGAAGGAGAGAGAGGTGTCTTCCGGCACTTCCACCATCTGCAATCTGACCCCACTACCAAAGACATTTTTCCCTCCGCACCTTTATCTACTTTCCGGAGGAACCACTCTCTCCGTGACTCCCTTGTCCGCTCCACACTCCCCACCAGCCCCAACACCCCCGGCACCCCTCCCTGCAACCACAGGAAGTGCTACACCTGCCCCTACACCTCCCCCCTCACCCCCATCCCAGGCCCCAAGAAGACCTTCCACATCAAACAGATGTTCATCTGCACATCTGCTAATGTGGTATACTGTATCCGCTGTTCCCGATGTGGCCTTCTATGCATCGGGGAAACCAAGCAGAGGCTTGGGGACCACTTTGCGGAACACCTACGCTCGGTTCGCTACAAATGACTGCACCTCCCAGGCGCGAACCATTTCAACTCACCCACACACTCTTTGGACAACATGTCCATCCTGGGCCTCCTGCAGTGCCACAACGATGCCACCCGAAGGTTGCAGGAACAGCATCTCATATTTAGCTTGGGAACCCTGCAGCCCAATGGTATCAATGTGGACTTCACAAGCTTCAAAATCTCCCCTCCCCCGACCGCACCCCAAAACCAGCCCGGCTCGACCCCACCTCCCTAACCATTCCTCCCACCTCAATCTCCACCCCTATCTCCTACCTACTAGCCTCATCCCGCCTCCTTGACCTGTCCGTCCTCCCTAGACTGACCTATCCTCTCCCTAACTCCCCATCTACACTCACCTTTACTGGCTCCAACCCTGCTTCTTTGACCTGCCTGTCTCCTCTCCACCTATCTTCTCCTTTATCCATCTTCTATCTGCCTCCCCCTCTTTCCCTCCCCCATTTCTGAAGAAGGGTCTAGGCCCGAAACAAGAGATAACAAGCTGTAGAGCTGGATGAACACAGCAGGCCAAGCAGCATCAGAGGAGCTGACATTTTGGGCCTAGACCCTTCTTCAGAAACATCAGCTTTCCTGCTCCTCTGATGCTGCTTGGCCTGCTGTGTTCATTCAGCTCTCCACCTTGTTACTTCAAGAAGTCATTTCTTTTTCTATTCTTAGGCTGTCACAAACTTTACAAATGGTCTGCTTATTAGGAGTTCATGGCTGCAGAACATGACGACCAGTCAGCAGTTAAACGTAACAACGACCATCTTGGATCTTTTGGAGAATACGGCAATGGCTATTGCTTTGACTTTGCCCAGTGGAGGAACAAAGTCAATCTCAGAAGACTCTTTCGGTAAAATATTACTCAGTACAAATGCTAACATTCTGGACATCGAGTGGACACAGAGGGTGTCTTTTCAGAGAATTTTGTGCAAGATTAAGGCGCATGGGATTGGGGGAAGTGAATTGAGATGGATAGGAAGCTGGTTGGCAGTGAGGAAATGAAGAGTAGGAATTAATGGGTCCTTTTCAAATTGGCAGGCAGTAAGTAGTGGGGTGCCATAGGGATCGGTGCTGAGACCCCAGCTATTCACAATATATATCAATGATTTGGATTAGGAAACAAAATGTAACATCTCAAAGTTTGCAAGTGATACCAAATTGGGTGGGAGGGTGAACTGTGACAAGGATGCAGAGATCCTTCAGCATGATCTGCGCAAAGCTGGGTGAGTGGGCAAATCAATCGCAGATGCAGTATAATTTGGATAAATATGAGGTTATTCACTTTGGAAGCCAAAACAAGAAGGCTGATTACTACCACAATGGCTATAAATTAGGAGAGGGAAGTGTGCAGCAGGACCTGGTGTCCTTCTGCACCAGTCGCTGAAGGTAAGCATGCAGGTGGAGCAAGCGGTAAAGAAGGCAAAGTTATGCTGGCCTTCATTGCAAGAGGTTTTGAGTACAGGAGCAGGGATGTGTTGTTGCAGTTATACAGGGCCTTGGTGAGACCACATCTGGAATATTGTGTGCAGTTTTGGTCTCCTTTTCTGAGGAAGGATGCTCTTGCTCTCAAGTGAGTGCAGCGAAGGTTTACCAGGCTGATTCTGGGGATGGCAGGTCTGACGTATCAGGAGAGATTGACTAGGTCAGGATTGTTTTTGCTGGAGTTCAGATGAATGAGGGGGCACCTCATAGAGCCTTATAAAATTCTATCAGGACTAGACAGGGTAGATGCAGGGAGGATGTTCCCGATGGTGGGTGTGTCAAGAACCAGGGGTCACAGCCTGAAGATTCGGGGTAAACCATTTAGGATGGAGATGACGAGATATTTCTATGGAGTCTATGGAATTCATTACCACAAGAAGTAGTTGATGTCAAAATATTGAATGTATTCAAGAGGTGACTAGATATAGCATTTGGGGCGAATGAGATCAAATGTAATGAGGTAAAAGCGGGATTAGGCTATCAAGTTGATTTGGCTATCAGCCATGATTGTGATGAATGGTGGAGCAGACTTGAAGGGCTGACTGGCCTCCTCCTGCTCCTATCTTCTCTGTTTCTATGTTTCAATGTTTGTTGATCAAAGGCAAGATTTATTTCCAGTTTTATGGTCTGCACTTACTGATCCAATTGGCACTTTACTTGCAGAAGTGTTTAGTTAAAACGGTGACTTCTGATGAAAATTTTCAAACAATATTTCGTAGAGTTACTTTGAGGAATATGAAGAAACGTTATTGTCAATGATGCTGTGTCACAGAGCTGAAGAAGTTCCTAGATCATATTCGATTATCACATTTCCACAGAAACAGGGATAAGCTAATCGATACTAGTCTGGGTTCCTGCTTCTGTACATATCACCGTAAGGTATAGGAGCAGATTTAGGCCATTCCTGCCTTCTCCCCATAACCTTTGATTCCCTTACTATTCAAGAATCTATCTACCTCTGACTTAAAGACACTCAATGACTTAATCTCTGCAACCTTCTGTGACAGTGAGTTCTGGAAATTCACCATCCTCTGGCTGAGGAAACTGCCCCTCATCTCAGCTCTAAAACGTCATCCCTGTGCCCTTGGGTCCTAGTATCTCTTCCTGGTGGAAATATCTTTCAGTATTCTGTAAGTTTCAGTGAGACCTTCCCTCATCCTCCTAAATTCAAAAGTATCAGTTGTTGGAAAGCAATTGTGTGTGAATATTGACTGAGAGCAGGTTTCTACCCCTTGTGCTGTACTGTGCTGTGACTCAGTGTTTACGCTGTCTCCTCTGGGCCTCTGGGTTATTTTAATGCCTTCAGTCAGAAGATTGGGAGCTCATGTCTGATTCCAGAGGCTTCGTGCTCAGGATCGAGGCAGATGATCCCACAGCAGTTCCAATGGAGTGTACACTGCCAGAGGGACTGATGTCTTTCACATCAGACATGAAATTGAGATTCCTCAGGATTGTTAAGCAACTGCTGCCCAATTGCACAATCACATTGTATAGTAGATGGGTTTTTTTGGGGTTTTGAAAATGCAGGCTAGTTGTATGGTGTCTCTATTTGGCCTGTTATCATCAACAGAAGGAACATCCTGTTTGATACAATTAGCTACTTACTGACATGTATAGGCTACATACCAGGTTCTGCACTGACACTGAAATTCATGCATAACATTGTTCAGTTGTCTGCTGGGAGGAATGTCCTGAGTGTGCTCATGACAATGTTAACAACCATTGTAAGAGAGTCAGTTAAGCTTGCAACATGGCTCATTTACACTCGCGAGAAACAACATACGTTCATGCACAGGGACTCATTCCATGCAATCAAAGGAATGTGTTTGACAACAAACAGACAGTGCTGGGGAAACTCAGTAGAGTTTGGTAGCATTCTGTGAAGTGAAAAAGAGTTTGTACTTCGAATCCCATATGAGTCTTCTTCAGAAGTAATGAGCCTGATGTCTCAGGCTGAGTGGGCAAAGTGCAGAAAGGCAAGCCAGGGATGCTCTGAGTATCTAGGTAGGCTCAGAATGAATTATCGAGTAACATCCTAGACAAGTAAACCTGTGAGAGAGAAAGAGGCAAGGCAATTTCAATAGGCACTGCATTCTTCACAGAGCCTTACCTTTACTTTTAGCTGCCCAGATCCAGGTATCTGGTAATCAAAGTTTGCCAGACGACTTGGTAAAAATTGAGATCTGGAATAACACCATGGAGATAAACTGGAGAACGGTCATGGGAGCAAAGAACTCTGGTAAACATTTAGTTTCTTTTGCATGTATTGGTTGCTGTGATTCTAATGACTATACTTCAGAAATATGCTTGTGACCTTTTGTGGCTATAAGTCAAATCTGGTACAAACGTTACCACCTCTTCTCATGCAATACAAACAGTTATTTCCTCTGAGATTTGGTATTCTTTCAATTCTGTCCTGATGAGTGCAAGGCGGAAAGCTTTGAACATTTCTCCTTTTCTCAGCTTCTGTGCAGCTAAGCAACTTATACTTTTATTTGCGAAGTTTAAAAATTGGCTTTCTTTAATATTTGAAACCAGTCTACAATTGGAATGGATACTATAATCTGTAGAATTGGACTTATAGCTAGATCACTGTTGCCAAATTATTTCAGATGACACTCAGCGAAGTCCAAACCCTTTTGCTCCACCAGACTTTGCTGCAGTCTGCTTCTTTGTATTCAGCGACATGGAATCCATTTTGAACAGCAAGATCCGGAAAGATGGGGTCAAGCAATTGGAGACAACTGAAGGAGCAGGCTGGTTAAACTCCAAAGTGGTAACAGCCAGAATCAGTAACAAAGCAGTCAGTCGTGAACTGAAAGAAATGGTCAATCTTACACTGAAACTCAACAAGGTTTATAAGGGAGACTTTGAGGCTTTTCATGCAACAGGAACTGTAGTAGTCCAAGATGAAGGATTGGACAGCATAAAGAGTTGTTTTACTCTGTATCCAACCCCGTGCTGTTGTGGAAGTGTTTGCTGTGCCAGTGTAGAGAAGTTTAGCTCTGTGTCCAACCACATGCTGTCCCTGACCTGGGAGTGCTTGTTAGGGATAGTGTAGAGGGAGGTTTACTCTGTATCTAACCCCGCGCTGCTCCTTTTCTGTGAGTGTTTAAAGGGGACACTGGGGAGAGAGTTTACTCCATATCTAACCCTGTGTTGTACCTGTCCTGGGAGTATTTGATGAAGTGGATGAAGTTTTACTCAGTATCTAATCCCATGCTATACCTATCCTCAAGTCTTTGATGGAGACAGTGTAGAGGGAGATTTTGCAAATGTTGCTTCCATAATAGTGTGAAATTTGTTCTTGAACCTTAAGTCCCCTTCCCGAGGAGGTTACTACATTCTCATTGTCTGATTGTTCTGTACTGGCGGGGTTCAGAAAGGTGGGAATATTTAAATCTTTGGCAGGTGCAGGCTTTTTTTTAATCTAATCATTTGTGGGACGTGGGCATCGCTGGCTGGCCAGAATTTCTTACCCAACCCTAGCTGCCCTTGAGAAACTGTTGGTGAGCCGCTTTCTTGAACAGCTACAGTCCACCTGCTGTAGGTTGACCCACAATGCCATTAGCGACAGAATTCCAAGTTTTTGACCCAGCGACAGTGAAGGCGATGTATTTCCAAGTCAGGATGAGGATTGGCTCGGAGGGGATCTTGCAGGGGGTGGTGTTCCCATGTATCTGCTGCCTTTGAACATCTAGATGGAAGTGGTTGTGGGTTTGAAAGGTGCTGTCTGAAGATCTTTGGTGAATTTCTACAGTGCATCTTGTAGATAGTACACACTGCTGCTACTGAGCATTGGCAATGGAGAGAGTGGGTGTTTATGGATGTGGTACCAATAAAGCACCTGTTTTGTCCTGGATGGTGTCAAGCTTCTTGAGTGTTGTTGGGGCTGCACTCATTCAGGCAACTGGGGAGTATTCCATCACACTCCTGACTTGTGCTTTGTAGATGGTGGGCAGGCTTTGGGGTGTCAGGAGGTGTGTTACTGGCCGCAGTATTCCTAGCCTCTGACCTGCTCTTGTAGCCACTGTGTTTATGTAGCAAGTCCAGTTGAGTTTCTGGTCAATGATGAACCCTAGATATTGATAGTGGGGGATTCAGTGAAGGTAACATCTTTGAATAACAAGGGGTGGTGGTTAGATTGTCTCTTATTGGCGATGGTCTTAGACTGGCATTTGTGTGGTGCAAACGTTACTTGCTGTTTAACAAGGTTTGTTCCTTCATGCAGAATACCAAAGATCATGAGAAGGCCAAATGCGTTTATTGGAAGATAACAGACGGGGGAAGTTTCTGGTCCCCTGAGAGCTGCTTCCTGATTTGGTCCAATGAAAGCTACATAATGTGCCAATGTAACCATCTGACGAGCTTTGCTATTTTAATGTCTCCGATTGAGATTGAGGTAAAACATCATTCAAACTCCGGTCAAAGTGGGAAGTAAACCCAGAGACAGAGGAAACAGAAAAGTGCAGCAGTCAGAAACCAGAGATTGAGAGAATTAAACGGTCAGGAATCAGACACACAAGAATGAGATTAGAGGAAACTGGAGAGTCAGAATAACACCCAAGGGTGATAGATAGCAGGAAAGTAACTCCATTAGCAACTACTGAGTGATCTAGAGAATGAGCTGACAGACTCCTGAAACACCACATGGTGAGCCGGTCTGTGAATTCAGAGAGTGACCACAGAATGACCCAGATTATGGCCCAAGAGAGTGACCCAGACTGTGACCCCAGAAAATGACCCAGACTGTGACCCAAAAGAGTGTCCACTGAGACCCCCAGTGACCCCAGAGACAGATGCTATCATGACCTCGGAGACTCCAGAGGTCACCCCAGGAGTGACCACAGAGATTGACACAGAAAATTACCCCAGTGGGTGGGCATGTAGAAAAACCCAGGAGCTACCTAAGGTAATGATCCCAGGGAGTGACCCGAAAAAATGACCCTTTGACAACAAACAGAACAATGAAGCCAGATGTTAAAGATCACATGGTGTTATTTTGAAGGAAAATAGTGGAGTTGTCCCAACAACAATGTTTGTCCGAGAAGCAACATCCCTGATCATTACTGGAATCAATGAAAGTTAAAAGATAAACAAAGTGTGAAACAGGTTGTGACACAGTGGTAGTGGCCCGATCCCTGAGCCAAGAGACCTAGCTTCAAGTGTCACCGACCCCAGAAGTGTATAATAACACCTCTAAACAGATTAATTAAAATACAGTAGATGCTAGATATCTGAAATCCAAACAGAGTGATGGGAAAGCTCAGCAGGTTTGGCAATGTCAAAGCCGAGAGGGAGAGAGAAAGAGAGTTAACATTTTGAGTCCACTATGACTCTTTCAGAACAGGCTATCACTGTTTTACACGAGTGACAATTGCCAGAGGAGCCTGGGCTCATTTAAAACAGATGACTGGCAGTGACTTTAACCTGGGGATGACCATGCCCCGGACAGGGAGTGAGCTTAAAGAGGCAGGGTTTTCATGATGATCTCAGCTGTTCTGGCAATTGAACCTGTGAACCCCTGAAATTAATACCCTGAATAGTATTAGCTGCAGCTCACAGTGCCACTCAATCTGTCACAGTCCCTGGAACAAATCATGTGGCAGAGATCAACCTGAGGGTCAATAAATATGATATTGTTTTATACTTACATTCAATAGGAGGAGCTGTAATGGCCTTAAAAAGTGGTTAGTGAGATATCTGATGGATTGGTTCTAATATTCAAACTGTTGTACATTTGGGGAAGGGTACATTCGAATGGAAGATACTGAATGTAACTCAAGTAAAATCAAAACACTGATGATGGAAATCTGGAACAAACACAGAGAATGCTGGAGAAACTCAGCAGGTCTGGCAGCATTTATGGAGAGAGAAACAGTTAAATTTTTATCCTCTTTAGAACAATGAATGTAATACCATTGTTCAAAAAAGGAGGGAGGCAGAAAGCAGGAAAACAACAGCCAGTTATTTTAACATCTGGCAGAGGAACGTTATTAGAAATTATTATAAAAGACTCTAGAGCAAAACTCAGAAATATTCAAGGTAATCAGGCAAGAGTCAACATGGTTTTGTGAAAAGGAAATCATGCCTAATTAATTTATTGGAATTCTTTGAAGGAGTAACACATGTTGTGGGTAAAGTGGTGGATGCCAATTATTTAGATTTCCAGAAGGCATTTGATAAGGTGCCACTTCAAAGATTATTGCAGCAAATGAACTTTCATGGTGTAGGGGTTAATATATTGGCATGGAAAGAAGATTGACTGGCTAACAGGAGTTAACATAATGTGTCATGTGCAGTGTACCACAGGGATCAGTGCTGGCACCTCAATTTTTAATAATTTATATCAATGACTTGGATGAAAAGGTTGAAGATATGGGGTAGCTAAATTTGTCAATAGCACAAAAATAGGGAGAAGTGTAAGTTGAATTGAGGACACGTAGGAGCTCTAAACATACATAAATGAAGTGAGTGGATGAGGATCTTGCAAATAGAGTATAATGTAGGAAAATGTGAAATTGCCTATTCTGTCAGGAAGAACTATAAAGAAGCATATTATTCAAATTGTGAGAGGTTGTGTACCTCTGAGATGTAAAGGGACTTGTGCATCTGTAGTATGTGAATCACAAAAGACTATTATGTAGCTACAGCTAGTATTAAGGAAAATATTAGAATGTTATTATTTATTGTAAGGGGAATTAAATACAAAGGTATGGAAATTATGTTTCAGTTAGTTAAGGCACCAATGAGATTATATCTGGAGTATTGTGGACAGTATTGGTCTCCTTATTTAAGGAAGGAAGTAAATGTGACTGAATCAGTTCAAAGAAGGTTTACGGGGTGGCAAGTCACTGGACTTGAAACATTGATTTTGTTTTTCACTCCACAGATGCCGTCAGACCTGTTGAGTTTCTCCAGCAGTTTCTGTTTTTTTTGTTTCAGATCTCCAGTTCTGCAATTCCTTGTTTTATTTTACCAGACTAAGAGCGGGAATAGATGGATTGTCTCAGGAGGAAATGTTGGAAGGTTGAGGCTTTTATCAGCTGGAGTTTGGAGAAGTAAGAGGTGTCCTGATTGAAACATTTCAGATCCTGAGGGCTCTTGACAGGATGATGTGGAGAGGTTGCCCTGCTTGTATCTAAAACTCAGGAACACTGCTTAAAAATAAGGAGTTGCCCATTTAAGTCAGAGATAAAAGCAAAGTCATAAACTAGAATCCCTCCATTGCAGAAAAAGTGCCGTTCAGCTATCAAGTCTCCACTAATCCTCCACTCACTCTGCATTCACCGTGGCTAATCCACTTAGTTCAGACATCCCTGGACGGGGCAATTTAGCATGGCCAATTCGCCCAACCTACGCATGATTTGGCTGTGGAAGGAAACGAGCACCCAGCAGAAACCCACACAGTCACCCGAGGCTGGCATTGAACACAGGTCCATGGTGCTGCTAACCACTGTGCCACCATGCTGCCCAAGGCTTTTGAATCAGAGGCCCTCAAGCCTCTTCCAAGAAAAGTGTGTGGAAGAAAAGATTTTAAATATTTTTAAGGCAAAGGTGGATAGATTCTTGATAAAATAGGAGGTGAAAGGTCATCAGAATGTGGAGTTCAGGTTACAATCAGATCTGCCATGATCGTATTAAATAACAAAACAAATTTCAGGGGACAAATGGTCCACTCCTGTTCCTAATTCATGTCTGCATACGTCTTGTTTACTTGTGGTGTAGGGTCAGTTACCTTGGACAGTTGGTTTGTGATGCAGAGTGACACCAACAGTGCGGGTTCAATTCCTGCACTGGCTGAGGTTACCATGGACAACTCCCTTTCACACACTTTCTCCTTACATGAGGTGTGTTAACACTCAGGTGAAACCACCATCCGTCGTCTCTGTCTCTCTAATGTGAAGCAGCCCTATGCTCTGGGTGGACTATGACGACTCAAGTACTTTATATTTGTGGTCATGTGAATGGATTCATTATCCAGAGGCCCAGGCTAATGTTCTGTTTTTGTGGGTTTAAATCCCACTGATGGAATTTGAACATAATTATTAAAATCTAGAATTGAAAACTAGTCTCAGTGAAGGTGACCAGCATCATTGATTGCTGGGAAAAAAACATCTAGTTCACTCTTGTCCTTTGGGGAAGAAATCTGCCATCCTTACTCAGCCTGTGACTCCAGACTCTCTTCACTGCCTCTCAAGGGCAATTATGGGTGGGCAGCATTGGGTGAACAACATAGGGTGGGCATGTTAGTGATCCCCTGAGCAAAGCTGAGAAGGGAGGAAATTCAGGACAAACTTCTTTATGAGAATATTTCGAGTATAGACCTCACTATGAAGCAAAATGACTGAAGTGAATAGTGTTCATGCATTTTCAGGAGAGCCAGATAGACACATGAGGGAGAAAGGAATAGAAGGTTCTCATGTTGATATAATGAGATGTCAAAACACAGGGGATAGGCTTGTATGGAGCATAAACATTGGTACAGGCCAGATTGTCTGAATGGCCTGTTACTGTGCTGTACACCCAATGTAATTCTGTGAGAGCATCCAAACAGCTGTGCCCCAGCATGTGATTCGCTCTTTGTCAATGCTGCAGGAAGGCTGGTCCTTGCTGCTGATCAGCACAGTCGGGCTCACAATATCCCTGCTGTGCCTCGCCGCCTCCATCGTTGTGTTCACAAAGTGCCGCTCCATCCAAAAGGCCAGTATCATTGTGTACAAGCACCTGAGCATCAACCTCTTCCTGGCACAGCTCATCTTCCTGACAGGAATCCATGTGACAAACAAGGTGAGAAAGCTGGCCCGTGTACCACCTCTCTAAGATAGGCAACTGAACCCGGGTTACTCATCCACGCCACAGGACCCTTGCCCTCTGCTTTCTCCCTGAGCTGTCTACCATACCCTGCACTATCCAGAAATTCACCAAAGATCCTCAGACAACTAATGCCCAGATTGAACAGAAAAATTAACTTTATTTTGCCTTAGTCTCAAATGTAGGTTTTTGTATGCCAATTATTTTTCAAATGAACCGCTCTCAGTCTGGCCAAACTCATTCTTAACTTCCTTATTCTGGTCTTGACACTTGATCCTCTCTTTCTGTCATTCGATCATAGGATATCACCATCCCTAGTTGCCCTGGAGAAGGTGGTGGTGAGCTAGCTTCTGGAGCTGCCGCGGTTAGTGTGGTGTAGGAACACACACACATGCACACACACACACAGACACACACACGCACACACACAGACACACACACGCACACACACAGACACACACACACACACAATACTGTTAGGGAGGATTTAGACTGAGCATCAGTGAGGAAAAGATGATATTTTCTAAGTCAGGATGGAATGGGGCTCGGAGGAGACCTTGCAGGTGGTGATGTTCCTTTGTATCTGCTGCCCTTGCACTTCGAGATGGTCGCAGCCACAGGTTTGGAGAGTCCTACAGAAGGACTGGACTAACATTCCCTCTAACCTTCCCTCCCCTGCTGTGTGAAAGAACAAAACTTGTGAGGAAAGAGAAGGGTTGCCCCGGTGCCCTGCCCTTGCTGATAATTTTAGACAGAGGTGCTGGGGAATGTGGCATTTTATTTCATTTAATATCGGTGGTGGGCTCCCAGGGGGATTCCTGTTGGCCAAGAAAGTGCTCATCCACGGCCCAGTCCAAGATTTCCGCCAGTCCTTCCTTACCAGGTGGAAGTGGGACATTTGAAGGAACAGAGAAGTACCCTGAGGATTGGCTATTCAGTTGCTTCATCAGTTTTGGCACTGATCCTGTATGTCACAATGAATGGGGACCACAGAGGAGTCTCCATGGGAGGGACCTCAGTGCCAGCTCATCCATCGTCTCTATATCTATTCCACAGCAACTCCAGAATTGGTTTTGATGAGGTTCTGGAAGTGGAGCCCAGTCCTAAGTCCTTCCCAGCCCCACTCAGATCTCAGTCTCTATCCTCGCAACCCAGGATGGGATTGTGAACGGAATTCCATTTGCTGTCATTGTCAAGATGTGCAATAAGATATAGAATAACGCAGTTACAGTCACAGAGATCTGCACCGCAAAAATGTGTTTCGGCCCATTGCAGTGATAACAACCACCTAATGATTCTAATCTCATTTTCCACCCCTTGGTCCATAGCCTTGTGTGCCTTGGCATCATGAGTACACATCTAAATACTTCTTGAAGGTTGTGATGCTTTCTGCCTCTCCCATCATCACAGACAGTGATTTCCAGATTCCCACCACCCTCTGGGTGAAAAAGTTTTCCTCACATCTCCTCCATACCTCCTGGCCTTTATCTTAAATCTTTGTGTCCTGGTCATTGATCCATCCCTCAAGGTGAACAGTTTCTTCCTGTCTATGGTATCTCTGTCTTTATAATTTTAAACATAGCAATGAGGTCCCTTCTCAGTCTCCTCTGCTCCAAGGAAAATAAGTGCAGTTTGTCTGATGTTTATTCATAACTGAAACTCTCCAGTCCAGGCAACATCCTGGTAAATCTCCTCTGCACCCTCCCCAATGTTATCATATCCTTCTTGTAATGCGGATTACAGAACTGCACACAATAATTTAGCTGTGGCCTAACCAAAGTTTGTACAGTTCCAGCATAATCTCCCTGCTCTAAAATTCTGTGTCTTGACTACGAAAGGCAAGTATCCTTTAGCCTTCTTAATCAATTTTATCTACCGGTCCTGATAACATAAGGGATTGGTGGACATGCTAACCAAGGTCTCTCTGAGCCTCAGTGCTTCACCTACCATTCATCATGTATTCCCTTGCCTTGTTTGTCCTGTCCAAGTGCATCATCTCACATTTATCCAGATTGAATTCCATTTGCCACTGATCAATCCATCTGATCAGCCTGTCTAAAATAACAAGGTGTAGAGCTGGATGAACACAGCAGGCCAAGCAGCATCAGAGGAGCAGGAAAGCTGACGTTTTGGGCCTAGACCCTTCTTCAGAAATGGGGGAGGGTCACCTTGTTATCTCAGATTCTCCAGCATCTGCAGTTCCTACTATCTCTGATCAGCCTGTCTATATCCTTCACTGTTTAAGCTTCTATCTCGCCTCAGGAGAGCACCTACCGCTCACCAATGTAGCTTCCCATGAAGATTACTCCATCTTCCTCTGTCTGTTGTCAGGGCCCTGCTAAAAGTCCTATGATCTGTAAAGTCCACAGACATAAATCTAAATTACACATCAAATCATGGAGTGAGAGATTTCACAAAACCCTCATGTATTACCCTGTTTCTCTCTGTGTCTCTACCCATTTTTGTCCACCTGCTTCTGGCTGTGACTGTGTGTATTATGTATTCGTCTCTCTGCCTCTGCTTGTGCCTGTCTCTGCCTATATCTACAACTGTCTGTATTTGTGTCTGTACCCACGTCTGTGTCTTTATCTCTGTGTTTCTCAGAATTTATTATCTGTGTGTTTATCACTGTGTCTCTCTGTGGGTGTTATCTATGTGTGTCTCTGTCTATGTGCCTTTCTCTGCCTGTGTGTCTCTTTGTTTGTGTATTTGTTTCTGAGTGAGTCTGCCTGTGTATCTGTCTATGTGATCTCTGTGTGTCTTTCTGGACATGTTTCTTTCTGTGTGTCTCTCTGTATCTGTGTGTTACGTCTGTCTTCAGTGTTTGCCTTTGTGTTTACCGTGTTTGTGTGTCTGCCTGTGTTTCTCTCTATCTGCCTTTGTCGCTGTGTGTTTTTACTCACTGCTGAACCTAACCACTTATTCTGATCTTCCCTCCAGGTGGTTTGTGCCCTGGTTGCGGGGTGCCTCCATTACTTCTTTCTAACTGTCTTTGCCTGGATGTTCCTGGATGCTTTGCAGATCTTCATTGTGTGCAGACACCTCACAGTCACAAAGTTTACTCACACATATATCATCAGACGGAGGTACCTGTATCCTTCTGGCTACGCTGTCTCTGCGCTGATTGTAATTATATCAGCAGCAATCTATCCCTATGGCTATGGATCAGATGAACAGTGAGTAATTTTACGTTTTGATGACATAGACTAGCATTTTCTTTGAATTCCTTTTAAAGAAAACGTACTCAGCCTCATCATAGGACAACCTTCTCATCCCAAAAACCAATTCATAAGATCACACAATGACTACAGTGCAGAAGGAAGCCATTCAGCACATAGGCCCACACCAGTTCTGTTATTTAGGCTGGCTCTATTCTCTAGTCCAGTTCTTTTACCTGCAGCTAATCTCCTACCTTTTTCCCATATTTGTTCACACCATTATTATCCAAATAAAAATCATCGGTTCCTCGATTGGCTGTGCCCCTAGGATTGCAGCCTGACCTTAAAGTGCACGGTGTCACTGTATAAGCATGTTGTGCGCATGAGATGCTGTGTGAAAATGTTTTTTCTCACATCACAAGGCTTCATTTGCTCATCACCAGTTGCTGGACTGTGTCCTAGAACCTTCCTTTGACCTCTGTGTCAGGGGTTCCCAAGACCCATCTGCTCCAGACGTGTCATAGCTTTGACTCCAAATCTTTTGAATTTACTGTCAGCCAGATTTTTGGGAGTGGCATTTTCAGCATCGAAATCTCATTACCCCTCACTGTCTAGTGACCCTGTTGATAGGTTGGCCCTAACTTTCTGTCATAAATATAAAACAAGTCAGCAGCCCCATCACATCTCTTTGATTTTATTTTCATTGACTCCTACTGAGACACTGGAGAACGGGTTGGGAGAGGTGCCCCTGAAGTCCTAGAACTGGGGTATCCTCTAAACCAATCTCATTAAAACATTAAATAATCAATACCTGTTCATTGTTGTAACATTGTAGGCTGTTCCTACTTTATAATATTTTTGATCTTGCTGTGTTGACAAATACCTACAGTGTCCACTGAGGACAGGTGAAAGGGATTAATATTTAAGAACCTAACCGAAAGTAACAACAAATAATGGGGACTGTATCCTGCCACCGGGCTGTAGTCAAGAGCAAAACCATGGTGATATCATGTGACATGATGTATACTTTGGCTTATTTGCATATCATGCAGTAAACCCATTATACCACAACTATCACATGAGGGAGCTTGCTGTGCACGCACTGCTTTCTGTGTTTGCTACATGACAATAATAACAACATTGCAAAGGTACTTCAATGGCTGGATGACATACAGTAATTAATTCTTTGATTCTCACAGCTGCTGGCTAGAGTAGGGCTTTCGATGGAGTTTCCAAGGGCCAGTCTGCCTTGTGATTGTGGTACGTGCCTTTCTGGTGTTTGCTCACCCCCTAACACTCTCTAAAGTAACCAAACGGGACCCCTCCAGGCATGAGGCCTTGTTCAGGAGAGAGGGAGAGAGAGAGAGAGAGAGAGACAGAGACAGAAACAGAGACAAGGAAAGACAGAGAGAGAGAGAAATCAGGCATTCAGGTTAAATTTACAGGCACAGGATGCAGAGACGAGAGGAGTTTTAGACAAATGAAGATAGAAAAGGAGTCAGTCATAGGCAAAGCCATAGGGCAAAGAAAATGTGAGAGGAACTCAAGTTCAAATCTCACCAAGGCTATTGGGGGAACTTAAAATTCAACCAATTTGTAAATCTGGAATGAAATCATGATCTCAGTAATAATGATGACAAAACTATTGTATTGTCCTGTTCACGAATGTCCATCAAAGTGGAAATCTACCAGCTTTACCTAGTCTGGCCTACATTTGACTCTAGGTACTGCTGGTCATATTAACTCTTAACCGTCTAAGGAACACACTCAGTTATAAAGGTAAAGTCATCATGGTCTTACCAGACCATAGAACTGCTCTCTCATATCAGGAGAGATGACTGGATGATGTATAACCTGAGGATGACCATACCTCTGGGAAGGAGGGGTAAAGAGGTTGATAAGGCAAGACCTTCACAGTACCCTCAGCTGGTGTGGGAATTGAACCCACACTGTTGGTGTTACTCTGTACCAGCTGTCCAACCAACTGAGCTAAACCACTGTAACATGCATTCAATTGTATCAAATGGAAAAAATGTCCTTCAAGGCAACAATACAATGGGTGCTAATTAAGGGATAATTGGATGAGAACTTGACTCTGTGTAGATATTTTAATCAACACGGTACGACATTTTTAATCACAATCAACAGAATTCACGATCTACCTTGATGGGATTTGACCCCAAATCTGCAAGTCATTTTCTTGGTCTCAGGATTACAGATCGAGTGGCAACGCCATAATACCATCACCTTCTGCTTCATTGGCATTAGTGTACGGATGAAGTAAGCAGTGTGGTTTGAGTCATCAGTGTACCAGGCAAACTAAATTGAAAAGATATTTGGCTGGACTCTGTCTAAGCAACCATTAACCTCTGGTGTTTAACTCACCTCATGGACGACAGCAGATTAAGAAGACAGCTCACTACCACCTTCTTAAGGGCAATTAGGGACGAGCAACAAGTGCTGGCCAGGCCAACTGTGCCCACATCCCAAAACCTAACAACCATTAAGTGCAAGGAGAAAGATTGGAAGAAAAATAATTGGGATGGTTAGACAGAGAGCATTCTGAGCTCTGAGACTTTTGAAAATATCATTCTGACTTTGCTTCCCAAACTTTGTCTCTCTTCCTCTCCAGGTGAATATGGTGTTGTATGTCTGGACACTTTGTTTACTGAGACCTCATTTGTCCACACGTGACGTGAATGTGTCAAAGATTAAAGACACTAATTAAGTATCCAGCAGAAAATTCATGGCCCACTGCCTTCAGGTCACAGCGTGATTCACTCCCACTCAGTAGCAGCGGCTGAAATGAGATCACCCTGCAATGGTCCATTCTACATTCATATTGAGAGCTGGATAGTGCAGGGCTGGGGTTAGACCCCAATGCATACAGGGGGAGTGCTTCACTGTCAGAGGTACCCTCTTTCAGATGAAGCTTTCAAACTGAAACCCAATCTGCTGTCTCAGCTGGATGTAAAAGATCCCGTCGCACAATTACAAAAAAACATCTTCCTCACGTCCTGGCCAATAATTATTTCTCAGGTAACGACACCAGACATAGATTATCACAATACTATTGGCAGGAGTTTCCTGCATGCTAATCGGCTGTCACATTCCTTGCATTGCAACACTGTCAACATTGCAAATGTTTTTCGCTGGCTGCTATGCCCTTTGGGACATCCTGAGGTAGTGAATGGCAGTATACAAATCGGTGCCTTTTTCTTAATTGTGATGAGGTGGATTAACGTGAATATTCTTTTATTTTGTGCTTTTTGGACAGGACCCTGACCCTTAAGGCAACTGTGAGGTTGTTGTCCTGGGATTCACTTGGATCTTTGGAATATTTAATTTCAACAATTTCCTCTCCTACCTATTCACTACCATCAACACTCTCCAGGGCCTCTTTATTTTCATGGTCTACTGTGTTTCCAGTCGCCAGGTAAGACTGACTTCATTACAGGTGGAGCAACTGGAGGCTCTCCAAACGCTGCTGTTGTCGAACAGGAAAGAATAGGTTTATCAGTGGAACTGGGTGTGGGTCAGATATTAGCTTTGTGGCAAAGTGATTGTCCAGTAACTCTCACTGCCAACAGTCTGATGAAGAGTTAACAGTAGTTAGCAACCTGAATCCATTTAATTTCAGTAAAAGACACAAAGATCCTTCATGTCACGTAGAACTAAATACAAAGTTCAGTGCACATAGAGATCATTTAACCCAGCTCGTCTGTACTGCTATTTATTTTCCATCAACCCTATTCATCATAGATCATAGTCTCGTAAGAGACTTATAGCACTGAAGGAGTCATCCACCCCATCGTGTCCTCCTAGTCACAAACATTCTGACTACATTAATCCCATTTTCCAGCTCTTGGTCCAGTGCCATGGTGGCTACAGTAATGCAAGTGAATATGAAATACTGCTTCAATGTTGCAAGAGTTTCTGACTCAACCACTCATTCAGACAGTAACTTCCAGACTCCCACCACCCTCTGGGCAAAAAACATTTCTCCTCAACTCTCCTGTTAGCCTGCTACTTCTTAACCTTAAATCTACACGCCCTGGTAATTGACCTCTCTACTAATGGGAAGAAGCACCTTCCTATCCACCCTGTCTACACCCCACATAATCTGATGCACCTCTATCAGGTTCCCTCTCAACCTTTGCTGCTCCAAGGAAAAGAATCCCAGCCTCTCCAGTCTTTCCTCAAAGCTCAGATGTTCCAGCTGAGGCAACATCCTTGTGAGTCTCCTCCCAGCCCTCTTTAATGCAATCACATCCTTCCTACAATGTGAAAACCAGAATGACATGCAATACTCTCTTTATGATCTAACCAGTGTTTTATACAGTTCCAACTGAACATCCTTGATCTTGTATTCTGTCTTGGCTAATAAAAGCATATATCCCACATGGCTTCTTAACCACCTTATTTACCTGCCCTGCTATCTTCAGAGATTTGTGCTTACCCACAACAAGGTCTCTCTCATCCTCTGAAGTTCTGAAGAAGAGTCAGGCTGGGCATTGAAGTATTAACTCTGATTCTGTCTCCACAGATGCTGCTGGAGTAGTTGAGTTTCTCCAACATTTTCTGATTCTGTTCCCTTTCATCTTCAGCACTTTCCAGGGTCCTACTATTTATAATCGCTTGCCTTGTTAGCTCTCCCCCGGTGTATTATCTCACACGTTTCTGGAATCTTCCAGAACTTTACAGTCAGGCTGCAGTCCCATGTGACTTGACATGACTATAACACAGCTCCTCGTACACATGCTCTGTAGCTATTGCAAGAATAAAGGTGCAATTCCCTTTATTCAACAGTCACCCTTCAACATTCATTTTTCTGGGGAAACCAGACCCAACCTCATCAATATTTCCTGCTTAGCCCCTCAGTTCTAATACCATTTTAGTCTATCTTTATCTTTTCCCCTTCACCATGGTTTGTGTGTCCTTTTGATGACATGGAGACCAAAAATGTTCACAGTCATGTGAGCTGGGTGCAACCAGGGTTCTCCATAGGTTTAACTTGATCTCTTGTGACTGACTTAATTATCCACATTTTGTTGAAGGTGAGGGATGAAGTTCGGAAATGGTTCATCAAGACAAGCACACACTTGACCAGCAACACCTCAAATGTTCACATGAGTTCTCTCGAGGTAAGAATTGAGATGCCAAAAGGTGAGTGATATTAAATGATATTGGCTCATAAGCAGTGCTCAAACTTTCTGACTGTGGAATACTACAGGTAAGGCAGGGCAGAAAGATCCCATGGGACCCCAGGCTCCCCATCCCCCAATACTATATTCTGTCCCTCCCCACCCACCAATCCTATCCCACCTACTCATTCCTGCAAAAAAATTTCAGAATGAAAGGAAACATACAAAATGTATAAATAATTTCCTGCTTTTTCCCTGCTAAATGGAATAAATACATATTCATTCAATATTTAATTAACTATCGTGCATGAAGTGGCTTCTGCCAGAAACCTAAGTGCAGACATTATTTTTATGATAAACGTTAATACCACAAGATAATATGTTTAGTCAAAACGTGTTATAAAACCATTGCAGTCTTCAACATGAGCATAAAGAGTGTTCAGTAATAGGCTTCTCCATCTTCTGATCCTGGTCTGAATTCCACTTCTCTCCTGTCCCCCATAATCCCTGACTCCTTTGTCCATCAAAAATCAGTCGAATCCAGCTTTGAAAGCATTCCATGGCCCAGCCTCCTCTGCCCCCTGTGGGGAGGGAATTTCAAGCAGCAATGACCATCTGAGAGAAAAAACTGCTTCTCATCTCTGTCTTAAATGGAAGACCTTTTATTCTGAATTCTGCTGTCTCATTTTAGATTATCCCACGAGGGGAAACATCTTCACTGTGTTTACCCTGTCAACACTCCCTCAGAACCTTATGTTTTAATCAGAGTACAAACATTGTTCTTTTCAACTCCAATTGTGCAGGTCCAATGTGCTCAATCCTTCCTCATAAGGCAGCCTTAATCTCTGAGAAACTAACATTTATCTTGCATCTGTATTCATCAAACAATATCAACAGTAACATGTATTGAGCCCATAAAACAACATTGCTTATGACTGGAGTAATATTTTTGTTTCGTAAATGTAACACAAGCGAGCTAAGTGGATTCTGTTTAGTTGAAAATCTCTAAGTCTGATTTCCAGACTAACATATAAAACAGAGGGTAATCCCAAAACATAGCCTGTGTCTTAAATGCTACAGTGCAGAAAGCCTGAGAATTGTGGTCATGTGTCAACATCCCACTGTTTGACGCATTTTGCATGGCAAACTCTTAAGGCGACATCACTCCCAAAGTGACAATGTTCAATAATGACACATCTTGTCTGTGGGAGCTCATCTGGTTATGCAATGTTGCAGGAGTGTTGAGGATAGGTTTGGGTTTGATCCCTCATTTGATCTTGCCCATGACAATGTGTGTTAGTGAATTGCATTTTGGACCAGCCCACCATCCCATCTCCACACCCCACTCACCCACCACAGGATGCTAGTGGGAAGCACTGGCCTGTGGTCTTTTCAGGATGGCACCTTTGCAGAAACCTCAAATACCTCGTACTGTTTAATCCGAGTTCCCAACCTTCTGTCTGAGCTCAGGATGTGTCTGTATTCCTGGGGATATGTGCAAATGGAGGACTGTGAGGTGAAGGTTGTCCACCCTCTCTTGTGGAATGATCAAGTGATGTCCATGCTCAGATTCAGAATGACATGCTTTCACTTTGCGTCCCACTGCCCACAGCAGCATATCCTGGTTCCTCACGCCCCATTCTCAGAGATGCCATGGTGGGATTGAAACCCTTGTCCCTGGAGAATTAGCCTGGGTCTCTGGGTCTAATGGCATTCATTGCCATGACAGCACTTTCTCCTCCAAACCGGATGAAGTCAAGATAGAGAGAGAATGAAATGCAACAGAGTATGAGCTGAATGCTGCTAACCCATTGCCTGATCCTGTCGAGCTAGGAACAAAATCCCCTGGGAATTGCCCCAAACTCCTGTGTAATCCCAGCTCAAAACCTACAGCTGCTCCTGGGATGGCAATGTTTCCTGAAGGGGCAAGAGAAGGGTGGGACCTGGAGGGAGAGGGGTTGGGAATGCAGGTGGAGAGGGGTGAGAGTGATTCCCGAAGACTGGATTTGTCTAGCTCCCTCTCATTTTCAATTCTTTCCATGATTTTCTTACACTCTGCTCCTCTCCCTCCGCTGCAGTGTCGAGCCTTCAGTCTTTGATCTGCTGCTCCTACACCAGCTTGGGGTATCCTGGATTCAAAGTGGTGACTGTTCCCTCAGTAAATGAGAGTGTTATCTTCCTCCAGAAGGGTATTTATGCCTTATCACACCTCCTTCCTCTCCGTCTCACTAATGGAGAGGGCTACCTGTTAATGCAAAATAAACCTCTTGCTGAGGAGTTAGAGAGAAGCATGGATGGTATAGAGGTTTCCAACGGGCCTGGGCAGATGTGCTTTGTCACTCCATTCCAAAAACTGTCAGTGCCCTCCCAATCTCTGCTGCTGAGATGCCTCAATGGGCTGAATGGCCTACCTCTGCTCCTACATTTTATCGTCTCCCATTGACCCTCCACCCCCAGCAGGCATCATTGGGCACCAATTGCCCGGGCATCAGTCATCATTGCCATGCGAGCGGTTTCAGGGCAATTGTGTCTCTTAAAGATCTTCCGAATTGGACAAAGGCAAGTAATGAGAGATCCTCGTTTATTTTTTCAACTAGACTAAGACAACATAACCCTTCTGAGGATTCGAGAGATGACAGCGATGGGAATGTCCGTGGTTTGTGTATCTGTGTCTCTCTGTCTGTCTGTGAGTACAGCATGCACAATGTTTAGAAAGTTGGATTTGTATTTAGTTGGCTTTTCCAGCTTTGCCAGACAACATTTTTTGTTTCATCACACAAGTTGTTGCTTTTTCTTTATTCTCCCATGGGATGCGGGCTTCACTGGCAAGATCCCACAGACAGACAGACACACACACACACACACACACAAACACACACACGTGCAATCGTACAGACATATATATACATAAAGGATACCAACACACACACACAGTCACATACCTATAACAAACCACGTACACAGCTATCAGAGACATAGACATAACAGATACACATATGACACCCATTTATATACACATTGAAAGTATTGAATGCTGATGGCAACCACATTTAGTTTTTCAGCATGCTTGCTTTAGATCTATTGTCCCTTTGCAAGCTGAATGATGACAAGGTGTGTTATAGATACTGGTCTCACACCCTGCTTTCTGGGTTTGTTTAACACCAAACATGTTTTTCTGAGATTCATGTTTGAAGTGGAAATGTTGATTAACAGGATTTAAAATTATTATGAAACCATGTTTACAAAAGAAAATGTTCATGGAATTTTCCAGATTGTTTAATAGTTGATTACAATTCTTCACCAATTGTATTTTAATAGAATAAAGTTTTTTAACTGTTATTATCCCTCTCGGTGTATTGAGTAATATTTGTGAGCAAATGAGATTTCATTTTATGCTACCTATAGAGAAACCATGAGATTTGACTACAATGGAGGTGATAGGCAATGTTTGCATAAAATAGATTCTGTTTGCTGTCACACTTCGTGACTGTTGTTAGACTCAACCTGCAGTGAAATCACTGCCTTACTCATTGGTGTCAGTTCACTCTCTTTCTTATTCTCTGGCTTTGCAAATTGGCCTGGGAATACCAATAAAGGAACTCACGTGACTATATAGTTCAGGACATTTGGAAAAAGCGTGGGAATTCAGTGCAGAGGGGATGAGGTGCTTTTTTTTTTACCTTGTTTGGTTTATAGTTTATCATGACTTTTTTTTAAACAGGATAAATTGAATGGTAAATTGAATAATTCTATGATAGGTTATTTGAAATTGAAGGTAAATTGGGGAAAAATTTACAGGTTACCAGCTAAAACAACAGTATGAAACTTTTAAAAATCAAATTAAGAACTAAATATTTAGTAATTAAAATAGAGATGCTGGGCCAGGTGATGTGTTGTAAATGTATGATGTTGGAGTTGGTGGACCCCATTGTGACCACATCTGTAGCAAGCGGTGGTTACTTGAGGAACTCCGGCTCAGAGTTGATGAGCTAGAGTCTGAGCTTTGAACACTGTGACACATCTGGGAGGGAGAGAGTTGCCTGCACACTATGTTTCAGGATGCAATCACACCACTTAGATTAACTAATTCAAATTCGTTTGGTCAGGGACTGGAAGGTAAGATTGCAATATTAAATAGCTTCTAGCTAAAAATGTTGTAATCAAAGAAGTTGGTTTCAATTCATAACCAAAATTTAATACAAGCCTTAAAAAAATTTAAGCTTAGGTGTGAAGGTTAACTAGCCTGAGGAGATGCCTTCTTCTATGCCCTGAACAATATGGATGGCTCACAACCCATGAATTACAAAATGCTAACAGCAGAAGTAGTTGTATAACATTACATTAATAATAACTTTTATAACTGAAGTTAACCTTATTGCAAAAAGTTAAAACTAACTGACTTTTCATTTTACATAATGTAATTGCGACAAAAGGAATAACTGAATGTGATAAAAGACAGCGCCAAAATACAATGGGTAATAGAATTCAAGCTGCCCTTACAGATAAACAAGTCTGAGAAAGACCTGAAGGAGTATAGCCGTTAAAGTTTTGGAATGCAAATGAATACTGTGCATAGAAAGATCCCAAGGCCTAGAGATTACAATGTCCAGCTAAAACCATAAGATCATGGGAACCTGGGGCTGCCTGTAGAAGTGCCCATCATTGATTAGGTGTCCCACAGGATTGGGTAATTAGAATAAGGGAAAGAACAGTGAATACATTGCATTTGATTATTGTAACACAAAATGTATAGAAATGCTATATTTCTTTGTAAAAGCAGAGGGTGTGTCATTGATCTATTCTCCAAAGCAGATTTGGGGAAGATCCTTTGGCCCTCTCCCTGCATAAACCGGTTTCTGCTTGAATAAACATCTTCCACTTGCCTGAATCCTGCCTGCCTCCTGAGTCTTTGCTCCTGGTTGGGAAAAATGCTGCTACAAGAGGGCAAACAAAACAAAAGAATAGACAATAGCCAGGATGGCACTGAGAAGGGGAAAGGAAATGAGAGACCTTTAGTGCATCTTCCCAGGTCGCTGAAGGTGGCAGGTCAGGAAGATAAAGTGGTAAAGAAGGCATGGGGAGGTTTTCCTTCATAGGGCAAGGTATTAATTCTCGAGTAAGGTTATAATGCTGATATTGGTAAGGTTCCAGCTGAATGACACTGGTTAGGGTACAAGCTGGGGTTTATGTCCAGTTCTGGCGACTATGTTAAAGGAGGACATTGGTACTGTATAGGATACAGAGGAGATTTACAAGATTGTTAACAGAATTTGAAAATTGCAACTATGAGGAAAGAGGAAAGATTGGATTGGCTAAGGTTACTTTCCTTGTTCTGCAAACTCCACAGACACAATCGCCCAAGGCTGGAATTGAACCCCAGTCCCTGGTGCTGTGAGGCAGCAGCGCTAACTAGTTGACTTTTAGCAGAAATGGGCCTTGCAAGTCACTCGGTTCAAGAGTAATTAGGGATGGACAATAAATCTTGGGCCTTGCCAGTGACACCTACTTCCCATGAAAGAACAAGAAGGACTGCAGTGCTCGAGTTAGAATCTGGCCAGCATCTTCTAAGATCCATATTCCCATCCTACGATTTACTTGCGAAAGCAAGAGTGTCAATTAATTACTTTTATCAAAACATATCATTGTTTTGGCCAACTCCATTGAATCACACATTAACCTCCTCACTTCTGGGGAGGATTTCTATCCAATCTATCCACACAACCTGAAGTTCCTCATCCTTGGCGCCATTCTCCGAAAATCTGTCTTGATCACTGAACTATGAACACCAAAGAACTTTTAACACAGCACTTTTTACAATCTTAGGATGTCCCAAAGCACTTTGTGCCTAATGAGGTTTTGTGTATTGAAAATTAAAAATATATATTTTGTTCACTTGAAGCTTTCATACACATGTACCAGCAGAGAGAGTCTGCAACAAGAAATACAAAGGAACCATTGCTCTCGCATGCAAATAGAAATTCTGCTTATCTCTGGTTATTACTATCCCATGAACATCAGATGAAACACTTCTAATGTAGTCAATGCTTACATGTAACATATGTGACAGCTGATTTCCAAAGGATGAACCAGCTGTACCATTGTCAAGCCCAATTGATCGGTTTGTCTTTGTGGCAATTTCAAACAAACAGTAAACCACTTTTCACAGTCTCTCATATAGAGGACCTTTCTATAATGCTGACAGGGGGCTGTCACAAAACTGGACATAAGCCATGCATAACTGCAATTGCGATTAGATGAGGATTCCTAGGAGTATGCTACAATTAATAGTCATAAGGGATTTTACCAATGTACGAGATTGCCTTTTGGGGCATCATCAGCCTGTGCCATTTTTCAGGGACGATGGAGGACATTTTAAAAGGTCTACCCAGGTTGCCATTTCTTTGGATGGCGAGCTAATAACTGGGAAAACCAATAAAGAGCATGGAGAGAGAACTTGGACATAGTGCTTAAACTTTTCTCCAAGTTGGGTGTCTGCCTTAGGCTACTTGGGCTAAGAGTTGACAAGACCAAGTTGCACTGATTGGAAGATAAAGTGAAGGAGATCAAAGGTGCCATGGCTCCCATGTCTGTACCAGAGCTTCGATTTGTCCTTGGGTAGGGGAATTACTACAAAAAATCCATTAGTAACCCAACCTCAATCCTGGCAACTTAGCATCTGCTATAGAAAAAGGATCAGCCTTGGAAATGGTCCCGTAGCCAGAAGATAGCCTTCAGGGAAGTGAAGTAGTAGTTATCATTGTCTAAGGTGTTGGCATACTACTGTCCCAAGCATGATCAAGTGCTGATATGTGATGTCTCCCCATCCAGTATCAGGGTATTATTATCCACTGGTGGCCCAGTGGAGAGGAATATCCAATAACACATACTTCCTAGACTTTGATTGATGCCAAATGAAGATACGTCCAGAAAGAGAAGGAAGGTTTAGAGGTCAACTTTGATGTGAGAGAGTTCCACCAATACCTTTATAGACATAAATTTGTAACAGCAACAGGTCATAAACCGCTGCTAGAACTATTTAAAAAACTGAAGGTGGTGCTGCCCACAGCTTCAGGTCGGATTTAGCAGTGGTTTCTAATTCTGAGTGTGAACAGTTACAAGTTGGAATGCTGTCTGTGAGTCAAAGTGGCAAATGCGGATGCCTTGAGCCACCTCCCACTGGCAGATGCACCACTGGTGGTGCCACCTCTAGAAGAGTCCATTCTGGTTTCAAACTTTCTGGGCACCCTTTAGATCACCACTGACAATATCAGACTAATCACCACTGACAATATCAGACTGTCAACACAAAAAGGTCCATTCCTGACAAAACTAAAACAACTGGTGGTGGGGGGGGGGTAGCAAAAGGGCCATCACAATCAGAATTGAAACCTTTCTGGACCCATCAATACCAGATGACCATAGAGGAAGGCATATTATTATGGGGAGCAAGAGTGATTGTCCTGAGCAAAGGTCAGCACCAGATAATGGCTGAATCGTGCCAGGGTCTTCAAAGGGTTTCCAAAATGAAGATGTTAGCGAGAAGTTATTTCTGGTGGCCAGGATTGGATGCTGATATAGCAGCTTTGCGTTGGGACAGTGCCTGGAGTGCCAACAAAGATAACCATTAACGCCAGCAACTCCCCCACATTCATGGGAATGGCTGGGTAAATCCAGGATTCGG